CACGTGTAATTACGCCGATTATTCCGCAAGATCATGAAATAAATTGTACGAATAACAATGTACCTATTACGCGGAGGCGGAGAGAGAAAGATATGGCCTTTATAAAATATTCAAATTACCCTTTTCGTCGGAAACCAGCTTAATTAGCAGGTAGATAATGTCCGCTGTTCTCGCGGCCGTATCTTTTTTTCAACGGATTTACCGTTTGAGCGAGGTTTGACTTTGGCTTTTGTTTCCCTCGAATGAGGGTGAGAGGAGGAACGTCAGTCATGTTTCTGCTCGCGATTCGAATATTTCCGAGGACTTTCGGAACGTTTCTACCTTTCGAAAACCCTCTTACTTGAGTCGGGGCATTCGATAAAAGGAACAAAGGAAATAATAATAATTAATCAACTCCATCAGTCTATTATTAATGACGTCTAAAGTCATTTATTAAAGTCTATTTCGTGAATCGAGTTTGAAACGATGAAAAAATTGATTCTTTTAACATCGATTTAATCCTTTAACGAATAACAATCATGGATCGATGAGCGTTTTTATCGGAAAATTTCTCTGTATTTATCCCTCTTGCACCTCCTTCGATATTTAAAATTGCGTAAACGCACACAAGACTCCGCATTTGGAACTTAATTTGCTCGAAACCACCCGTTGCCGATGGTGAGTTAACTCGTTTTAACCCATCGGCCAACTGCAATATCGCGTAACTGCGCACGGGTTCTCTATTGAATGGACTCTTGTATAAGTTATTCATCGCGCGTTTCATCCAGTTTTAACTCTCCTTTACCCGCCCCGATCCGGCCTCGCCCTCCCTCTCCTCCCCCTCGGATAGCGTATTACTTTGAGTGTATGGGAAACGAGCTTTACGAATTATTCCACGTGACATGCGCGTTATCGCGTTATTCCACGGATATATTGTATTCGCTTTGTACTTTGGGTCGACATCGGTGCCCTCCGTGCTTTTGGCGAGACGAGTTCGAACGAATTCCAAGAGAAATCTCGTTGAAATGTCGAGGGTTATTAAAAAGAAAGCGGTCATTAAAAAGAAAGACTGCAAATGTACGAGAAAAATAAAAAAAAAATTTATTCCACGATATAAATTAATATAAAGGATACAGAATAAGGGTCTTTTTTTCTTCTATAAATTCTCCTTCTTCTTTTATCTCGAAAACAGTTTTCTTTTAAAATTCGAAAACCCAAACATCAGAAAGAAATAGACTAGACACAATAACATTATTAAGTTAATTTAATTTTATTAATTAAATAAAACCGATCGATATCCGCGGCCTAGATTGATTTGCAATCCAGAGTAAAATGTAAAATTTGCGTTACACATTCAGATTGAATATTAAATGAATAAATAATACGAGAAGGATGCGAAATCGTGGTAAAAATCGAGATACAAATTTTCCATACATTTCGAGGATGCGAATACAGTCGAATGATCAGGAATCAGTATCCTTGGAGAGAGAACGAGAGAAAGAGACGGTGAAAAATTTCCAACGCAATAGTCTACTTTAGGCTACGGGATATCGGCCCTGTCGAACGCGGGGGGATGGGGGTGCGCGAATTACGAGAGCGATTTTCTCTCGCTCTCGGGAATACCTGCCAATCAGTGTCGCGGATATTCTCGCACGGCGAGTTACCCTCGCCTCGTCTCACCTCACCTCTCCTCTCCTCTCCTCTCCTCTCCTCTCCTCTCCTCTCCCTCGCCGCAACTCTTCCAATCGGTGCGATAGTATTCCATTCGCGTAGGTGGATATGATAGATATTCGCTCTCGCTCGCTTATCCTGCCTGGCTCTTGGCGATCGTTGCACGGTGTCATTGGTAATTCCGTGTCAACAATAATCTCGCATACAGTCCGAAAGACACGCGGGACGCGGCTCGCGTGACAGGTCATCGGAGAGTGGACGCGCAGTATCCGCGATTTATCGCGATGTACGAGTTTTGAGGGAGAAATAATGAGAGAGAAAGAGAGAGAGAGAGAGGCAGGGAACGCCAGGAGTATTGAATGCCAAATAATTGGCGCATCAAGCGACCATCGTTTAATTCCAAATTTTCGCTGAATTAAATTAGTTCTAGAACCGTGACACGTATGTTTCCGTCTTATCGAGGACATTCGCCCAAATGTCAAATTGCCTCCTCGTTTAATTATTTGAATTTTTTTTTCGCAGAGAGAAATAATTATTTCACAATATTTGGCAAGTTTTGCGCGAAAGATGATTGAATTTTATTATTCATTCCGTCTGAATGTTGCGTATTTATTTTTCCATCCGGATGGATGCGGTTGCGATTATTAAGTACGCGATAATTGTCGACGCGAGTAAATTTGCGCAATTTTGCGGAAAAAAGGAGGAAGGGGGAATTATCAAAACGATCTTACTTAGGAGCGAGCGACGCCGACGTTTGCGCGGGGCTAAGAACGAACGGCAAAACTTTTTAATTGGGCGTCCTTAATTAGCCGAGTAATTATACTGTCTCTCGCTCCGTTTCCGTTGCGCCAACTCCTCCTCCTCCCCCTCCTCCTCCCCTGCATTCCCCCCCGCTTCAACCCCCGCGCTGCGTTTTCACTCGAGTTCCGTCCGCGGATCCGTGATTAACTATATTTACTTAATTTTATAGCGGATAAATGCAAGTACATTCTCTAAATAACCCCGGTAGCTACGCGTTGTACGTTTATTTTCGCGCAAACACGTTTTACCGAATGTGTCGTTTATCGACGCTCGAGTTAACGTCCCCGAAAATGTCGACTTTACTCGTTAAAATATCCAAATACCGCCAGAAAGACAGTGTGTTCATTCCCAATATCCGTGGAAAAATTAAAATTCTCAGGCATTTCTTTTCGTATCTGGAAATATAGGAATTTTCATAGAATTTTATTAGAAGGTTCAGAAAGTTTTTTTACAAAATTCCCTCTTTAATAATTAATTAATTATCATATTACAAGCAGTCAGTAATTTCTCGATAAGCCAAGTTGTGAATTAGGTGTTTAAAATATAATTTTATAAACATATCTATATTTTTGTTTATATATTTAATGCTTTAATAAAATATTGAATATGTGATACATATTTTGTGTTGAAATTTTTAATAATAAGAAATGAAAATATTATGCAAATAAAAAATACTTATCTTACAAAAGCTATTTACTTTTTTTCAGTATACTTGCAAATATCTTGAAATTTAAAAAAAATTCTATGCTTTTTATGTAAATGAAAAGCATTAGAAAACGCATGCAATAAAAAATTTATTTTAGAATGTTGCATCAAAAAATGTTTAAAATATTTTTTTATCTGGAATTTTGAACAAAAATACTTGTAGAAGATCGAGAAAATTTTGTTACAATATTTAAATGGACATCTTGATCACTTTTGTAAAGAAAGAATCAAAATATTCGCCCAGATCGCAAGTGTCCTCAGGATATGAATTGTAAAAATTATATGTGTGCATAAATCAGTTTACCATAAAATATAAATGAAAACATTCCTCTCATATAATTTTCAAAAATATATATGTGAATTTATTAAGATTCTTTTTATTATCGATTATTAAAAATGTAGATATATTTTTTTATCTTTCTAAAAGACACACATTTTGATTTTAATAAACTCAATTCGGTATTATTTAAAAAAAAAAAGTTTGAACAAGGAATTTGTTGAATTTTGTCAAAATTTTATTTCGTTTCAACTCTTGACTCTAACTACACAAAACGTCACATGATCGAACATCATCAGCGCGTGCTCGTCGCTTTATGTATATCGCGATCAGCACGCGCATTTATATTTCACGCGATCCGCAGACACGTTGCCGTTGTCGAATCGTTTCAATAGACGACCCCTTTGACGTTTCGGCGACGGTGTGCATCATGTCGCAATTACACGCCCGATAAAATCTAACACACGACGCGGTGTGTTAGATTTTATCGTGCGGCACCTGCATCGCTCGTCGCCTTTTATATTTTATTCAATTCTTATCACGACGTATCAACGCGAAACACGCTTTCCAAGTGTTCTGTCATATTGAATGATTGGAGGAATCGTTGCACTTGGAATTTGGGGAAAGCATAATTACGATTGTAATTTTATCGATTTAATGCACTTTCGAATTTCATTTTCTTTATTATTCGAAGTTGCTTTGTATCTTTGGGTCATTAACAATCGAGAAATTAAATTATTCCTTCGACCATATTTTTACATATAATTGAAGAGCATAGGAAATATAGGACATACAATAAACAAACTTATTTTAGAAAGTTGCACCAAAAAAATCTTAATTTTAAAGAATATCTAGAATATCAGAGAATTTTTTAAATTTGAATAGACACTAATATATTTATGCGATAGATTGCAATTTACTCTTGGTAGCATTCTTTTCTAAATTTTTATTTAATTCTACATTCTAATACATTTCTACATTCTACCGCTCTTTTTTTATCTTCTCATATCTTCTAATTTTATTCCACACCCAGATTTCTTTTCTAAATTTTTATTTACAAATTCCACATTCTAATGTCTAATAAAATCTAATAATTTGTGTCTAAAGAAGACCCTCTATAAGTGTGCCGCTCTTTTTTTTATCTTCTCATAAGTCTTCAGTCCAAACTTTTTCTAATTTTATTCTACACCCAGATTTCTTTCCTAAATTTTTATTTATAAATTCCACATTCTAATGTCTAATAAAATCTAATAATTTGTGTCTAAAGAAGACCCTCTATAAGTGTGCCGCTCTTTTTTTTATCTTCTCATAAGTCTTCAGTCCAAACTTTTTCTAATTTTATTCCACACCCAGATTTCTTTTCTAAATTTTTATTTATAAATTCCACATTCTAATGTCTAATAAAATCTAATAATTTGTGTCTAAAGAAGACCCTCTATAAGTGTGCCGCTTTTTTTTTATCTTCTCATAAGTCTTCACTCTAAACTTTTTCTAATTTTATTCCACAGATTTTTTTCTAAATAAATATTATTACTGTTTCTATATTTTTTAATTGTCCTCGTTTCAGAGAGCGGCAGGCAGATAGGACCTCACGCTTGCACCGTGTGCCAAAGCGTCGTCGAGGGTAGCGCGCACAGTCGCGCATTGCCCCGCAGCCAGGCGTCGCAATACGGTCTACGAGAGGATCAGGTACCGGTTGGTGCGCGCGTCTGCAACACTTGCAGATGCAAGGCCGTCCGAGGACGTTACACCACCTGTCCGTTGCCCGGCTGTCCGAATCTAAACAGCTCCAAGTCCAGGATAAAACGGCTGAGAGCGTTGCCTTCCAAGTGGCTCGACCTGCCGCTGGAAATCCGTGAGCCGATCGCTCAAGAATTCCGTGAGTGTCTTATACAAATCATTTATGTATAGACATATAAAGAGATATGATGACTTAATTGCAACACATGATAAGTTATTATTTGATGAGCATTTTATCTTAAATTTATTATTAAATATATGTTTGTCTTTCGCAAGTTTTTAATCCACTTTATGTATTGTAAGATTCCTAAAAAAATGTTGCGTTTGGAGCTAATTTATATTTTTTATATAATAAGTTTCATAAATTTAATTTTAATTTCATTTTATTGTCAAAATATAAAGATATTTATTTATTTCTTAGCTTTAGCTTTGAAAGAGATTTATATAAATAAACTTTATAATACATACAATGTATTAATGATATAAAATGCATATAAAATATAAGTTTATCCGAATTATTCCTTATCTAATAATATATACATATAATATTATATAATAATTATTTAATAATATTATATACATATTTTATAGCTAAACTGTTCATATTGGTTATTTCAGAGATACCGAATAATGCGACGAAATGCTGCTCGGCTTGCTTCAGCCGTATATCGCGTAGATTAGCGCCGCATCTCACCGGCGGTACCGAAGCATCCGAGGATGGCGCCGATCCATTGTCGCGTCCATGGACGGACGAGGAGTTGGAGCAGCTCCGCAAAGCGCTTCGGGAATACGGTACCAATTGGCCGAAGATCGCTGAGCAAATACCTGGCAAGACGAGTCAGCAGTGCAAGAATTATTATTTCGCTTATCGAAAGAAGCTGAGTTTCGATCAAGTTGTCAGCGAGTATTATACATTGTTGGGCGAGGAACGGAGGCCACCATACGTGACCGACGAGGAGGAGAGTGGAAGTAGTACAAGTAGTTGCGATGAACTAGCTGTAAGTTCGTTTTTACAAATTGACAAAATTTCTCCAATTTACTTCTGTATTCAATGTTTATATATGATATATTTTTTTCTCTTCTTCTCATGTTTCCCTTTCTTCGTCAGGTTCATGATTCAAGTGACACCGCTAGTGCAGGAAGTCCTGCGACCACCATGACGGGTAGTAATGCAGCGGTGATACCGAGTGGTGGTCCTACGGCGACATCTTCATCGTTATCTTTCCAGCGACCTAATGAGCTCGGGTCGTTAGAAAAGCTCGGTGAAAGAATTGCCGATGTAACCGTAGTATCACTTGTTCCGCCTGCCGGATCGTCTCATCAGTCTTCCAGCAGCGGCGGTGCTGCCGCTACATCCGGTGGTGCTAGAGAGGATTATGATAGTTCTGCCACGGTAAGATGAAACTCTAGCTTTGTACTTTGAGTCTTAATTTACCCTGTAGATCATACAAGAATGTCTAGCTTGTTTTAGTTTATTTTAAGTTGCTATACCTTAATCCTGCAATATTCAGAAATATGTATATTATTCTATGATGTATTGAATTACAAATATGAATTAAAATAATCTCCATCAAAGTGATCCCAATTTTCCAATACCAATATTATTAAGGCATTTTCTTTCTGATACTTTTTAAATACATATGCACTCTTATCATTGACTTGATAATAATATCCTAAGAAAACAAATTACGAAACAATATTTTTGCACGATAGGGCCGTCTGATAGAGGTGCGCTCATTGTTTCAGGAGACGGCGGACGAAGGTCAGGGAGGTGCTGATTTAGATAATGGCAGTGTTGTAGTGACTATGACAACTGCCAGCGGCAACGCAACGTCGTTGCAACAACAGAGCCAACAACAAAGCCAGCATCAGCAGCAACCTCCCACTACAGCTCATTCGCCTCCTTCAACAACGAGTAATTCAAATCCTCTCACTGTCAAGGATCTCATGCTGGGGGTCATTGAAATGCAACTGAAACGCACTCCCAATAGTCCAGCTGATGGTGGCGGCTCGTCCGCACCTAACAGTTCCGGCACACCGACTATATCCAGTATCTTGAAAACAGACCATCGCAATGACATAACGTATGTTCGCGGTTATAAGTCATCCTCGAATATGACGAATACGGCGTTACCCAGCAGAGATACGAATCTGGCAACGCTCTCTGTTGTATCAGGACCTCATCATGGTCATCGATCTGCTCCTAGTCCGCAACAAATCAGTAAGTTTATCATTGCTTTTTTATATTCAAAATTCTTATAAAAACCATATTCAAAATTTTAGTTATTACGTCTATTTTTGAAAGACACTTTATGTATATAGTATTGCACTTGAAATAAATTTTACAAATATAATCGATATATATCATCTTTTATTTTAGGTCAAATGCAAGCTACTATCACTCCTTGTCCACCGGCTGCGCCTAGTAATCAAGGTTCGTCCTCGGATCTTCTTCCTAAAGAAGGTTTGGTCGTCATGCAGGTGCAACAAGCACTGAGAGAAACAGAAGGAACGCTGGATCTAAGTATTAAAAAGCCCCGACTCCAACAGGACTACAATCATTCGATTCAACTTCACAAGCCACCGACGGTCACTCTTTATCGACCGGAACCACCACCAGGAGCGTATTATCATCCTCACACCACCCCTCATCCCGAGCAAGGACGTAACGCAAAGAGCCCGTTAGTCTATGCTTCGGCGCCACGACCTCAAGCATCCATTACACCGAAGATGAATAAGGTCACTGTGCCGCAGACACATCCTAAACTGTCGCCAAAACTTGGCAGCATGAGCACGCCAGGACACAAAGGTGGTTCCATCACACATGGCACGCCTGTATCCACGGCGCGTTACGAGGGGCTGTTACGGCAAATGACGCCACCCGGCAATCCACCAGTGAGCGGCGCCTCCGCGAACGTTAGCGAACGTGGCGGCGGCGCCGTCAACGCCAGCTCTGCTGGTCCGGGAGCGCCGAAAGAGACTGGGGGAGGCTCTATTACTCAGGGTACACCGGTTCTTCCGTTTGCGGTAGATAAGCGTGGCGCGCCCATATATGACTATCATCGTACCATTCGACATTCACCCGTCACAGGTAGCGGCAACGTGCCACCACCGCCGGGACAAGGTCCTCCGAGTCAAGCGACGTCGCCAGCCGTGGTAGTAAGTCATGGTGGCAGTCAATACAATTCTTATTCCGCTGCGGGACGACCGCCGCCTAGCTACACGATGGAACAACAATTGTCCAGCCGACAGATCATCATGAATGATTATATCACCAGTCAGCAAATGCACGCGCGCGCTCGTGGTAGTGGTAGCACTGGCGCGTCCGTCACCGGCGAGATGGCGAGTAAGAATGAACCGCCACCATCAAATCTCTATTACGCTAGCACGCCGCCTCCTCCTCCTCCGCAGACGCATACACAGCCGCGACAGGGTGTTATTCAGAGGCACAATCCGCAGAAGCAGATGCACTATCCGCCACCGCCAATTCTGGATGCGTTTTCTAATTTAGTGGAAGTGGCAATCAAGCAACCTACTTTGCCGGTGCCGCATCAACACGGTCATCCTCCGTCCGGAAGTGGGGGCCATGAAGGTCTTGGTAAAACGATGGCGGATCGTCTGTTGGCCGATCGTTATGACAACAACCGCGCGTTTCGCGAACAAGAAATACGGATGCAAGAGCATCGTATGGCCGAGCACAGGCTCACACAACAGCATCAACGTGAGCGGGAGAGGGAACGCGATATCGTTCATTTGCGGGAAAAAGAGGAACATCGTTTGCATCGCGAAAAGGAATTACAACAGCAGCTGGAGCACCGCCTCGCGGTACAGCAGCATCATCAACATCGTGAGAAAGATTTCCAGCAACAGGAACATCGTCTTGCACCGCAACGGGAAAAAGATATACACGTCGAGCACGCTCGTTTGCAGATTCGGGAAAAGGATATCCCGCATGAGCATCGGCTTATACATCAACAGCGAGAGAAGGAGATTCATCAACAAATAGCCGCGCAACGCGAGAAAGAACACGAGCATCGATTGGCCGTGCAGCAACGCGAGAAAGAAATACAGCACCAGGAGCAAAGACTCGCCATTCAACAACAACGTGAGAATCCTCACGTTGTTGGATCTCCGATCCAACAGCATGCCGAGCGTCTGGCTGCACAGCAACGCGAGCGAGATCTGCTACATTTACATCAACAACACCAACAGCAACAGCAGCAGCATATGCAGCACATTCAGCACCAGCAACGTATAGAAATTGAGAGAAGACACATCGCGCAGTTGTACAGAGATCAGCAACAACAGCAGCAGCAGCTCGATCGAGATTCGTCGAGATTATTAAGCAGCGGATTCTCGCAGTCCTCTCGGCTTCAACCGTCTCAACAATCTCAGCAGCAGCAGCAGCAATCATCATCGCGACAGAGTCAATCTTCCAGTCAACAACAGAATGACTCATCGTCGACTCTCACAGCTGCCAGTTTGATAGATGCCATCATAACGCATCAAATTAATCAGGGCGTTGACAACGCTAATGCAAGTGGATCTTCGACTAATCAGCCGACCCGTGCTGGGGATCGTCTTTTCCAGGTAAATTTCTCTTCTCTCTTCAATTTGTTGCACGATCTTATTATATTATATATGTCATTGTGTTTTATTTTCAATATTAAGTGAGTTCTTATATCTTATTTTTTCGTTTTTTTTTTTAGGGATTTCATCGCGAAACTCCGCAAGAACCTAACGGCATAGCTCATAGTCCCGCCGGCGAAGGAAGCGGCGGTGGCGCAAGCGGCAACGGAAGTGGCTGCAGCAAAGCTATGACTCTCGGCGAGCATGTTGAGCACATTATAACTAAGGATTATGGCCCATCTCATTCGTCATATAGATCTTATGGGTAAGCTTAAAAAATTCATTTTTTTAAGACTAAACTAATAATAATTAATAATCAATGCGCAGCTTTTTTCTAATGTTATTTATTGGATCTTGTAAATTTTTACTTTTTAGAATGCGAACTGAGAAAGAGAAATCCAAATAAAAGCCATATTTCCAATTCTTAACAGAAAAAAGAGAAAGAGAGAGAGAAAGAGAAAGAAAGCTTTTGTAAATTATAACAATCCTTGTTTTCTAACCGTAATACAATTATTCCATTATTCGCTAAGAAATATATTCTACAAATAACGGAAACCTCTTCATTTTCTTTTCTATTTTTCCGAAATGATAGATATTCAATCTCGGAGGATCAATGGAAGAGACGGAAACATAATGAGCCAGACTCGGTAAAGACTGGAGACGAGCGTCAGATAATACGCGTCGCGCAGCAGCAGCAGCAACAACAGCAGACGCAACAGCAGCAGCAGCAGCAGCAACAACAGGCGCAACAGCAGCAACATCAGTCATCGGGAAAGCAACAATACCATTCGGTCGAGCCGGTTTCGCCGCCGGAAACGACCGCAAATCACTACGGACGTCGCTTTTACGAACCGAGCACTGCCACATCCACTTCCGGAACTCCCTCCAACAAGCCGCATCAGATATCGCCGTTTGATTACGTGAAAAACAAGATTGTCGAAGTGATGCGCACCGAGGATGACAAGGCTGGCGGCGGTGGCGATACTAGCGCTGGCTCTGACAGGAATGGAGGCGGCAACGCAGTCGTAGCGACCGAAAAGGATGAAAAGGGAGCTGGAAGCGTGGATAGAAGTCCATCCGGTAGTGGTGGCGGCAGCGGTAGTGGCGGCGGTGGCAACGAGATGGTGATCGACGACACGGGAGGGTCGACTCGTGAACAGTCATCGGCGCCACCGCCCGCGCCGTCGGCTACAACTACCTTCTATCCGTTTAGCGCGCTAGGAGTTCACACTGGTCCACCGCCAGCCCCTCCACCCGCCTCCGCTACGTCCGCCTCCGTGGCAAAGTCTGAGCAGATGCAGGCCGAGCCGGCGCCCTTGTTATCCGCGCAATACGAGCCGCTCTCGGATGAGGATTGATAGTCTTCTGTAACTGTCCAGCGCTGTAGTTAAACTACTTGACGCTAGCGGCACACGCTAGGATGACTACCGTATGCACGGCTACTACAGATATTAATGCAGAGATACAGGTGACATATACGTTTCCTAGGATAATCATAGATGATCATCGGTTAAACGATGATTCGTTATATTGGACGATTTATCGACGCTCTACTGGCAAAAGCCACACTGCGCTCTTATCGATCGCCAAATCCTAATCTAATTTAAGAGACTTTTTATATATACGCATATATATATATTCATATGTGTATATATAAATATATAAATATATATATCTATATAAATACATATATATTTATATACATGTGTATATTTATGAGAAATCGCGATCTCCAATGAGGTGAAAGGTGCAGGAGATTACAAGTATGATGTTTTAAATGAAGAAATCGCGTATATGTGTATATATATGTTGTTATTTTACTCTTTGTAATTTCATTGTATTTTTAGTCGGAAATCATTCCCGCGTTACGCAAAGAGAAGCGAATACATTTACGAAATAAATATTGATTTTATTTTACCTTCTCATAGTGTTGCGCTGGCTTTCAGTTGAACATGGCGACGATTAGTTTTATCTACTAATTAGTTCTTATTGCAATGTGTGTGTGTGTATATATATTTACGTGCGTATAAATATATATATACACGTATATATGTATTTAACACACACACACACACATACACATACATAATATATAAATTTTATATATATATATATATATATATATATATATATATATATACGTACATATATATAAAATTTATAATGTGCCGATATGAATAATAAATATGTATAAATATATATTGTGTCAACGTAAACAGATTACATTTTATCATCGTGATCTTAATGGGCCCGTTTTCTTTTTTTTAATTTTCGTGATTTGATTACACGATTACGGATCGGATTTTAGTTTAGAGAGAGAGTTTAGCGGACGCGATAGGTCAAGGAAGGAACTACCAAGAAAATAAAATCGTTATACATATATAATCGTTAAAAATAACATGCGCCTATATATATGTATGTATTTTCCATTTTTTATGTTTTTCGATACTTGCAGATGCATATGTGTACGTTAGCGTTTGGTGTCGCGAAAGAAAAAAAAAACAGATACAGAGAGAGAGAGAGAGAGAAAAAACGAATCAATTAATATTCGATATATCTATTCTTGTTTCGCGTATATACTAATATACCAAGTGCGCGAGGCTTTAGTCGTATGATCGAGGTGAATTATTATTTTTTACGTTGACTTGGTCAGTTCGCACGAGAAGACACGCGCGATATGCGCGCAAGCATTCGATCTGTGGAATGTCTAGGACTATATACAGGGTATTCCGCATAAAGTGTTACAAAGTAATTTTCTCAAAACGATTTTTTCTGAAACTTGACGTTGTAGAAAGTAATATTTCAGAGAAAATTTATAGACTTTTGAGAAAGAAAAGTTGATAATCTTGAATTTTAATTGCATTTTTCAAAGTTATATGAACGTGAATCTAATTTTTTTTAAATGGAACTATCCTAATTTTTTATACAAATCGATTCTTTGTAATATTTGGCGATAAAAATTATACGGGTAGGATAGCAAAAATTGAATAGTTTGCGAGATATTTTATACTTTAATTTTATATAATTTTTTACATAAACTATGAAATATCTCGTAAATGATTTAACTCGGCTATCCTATCCTATCCTTGCAACTTTTTACGTCAAATATTGCAACGATCTATTTACAAAAATTAGGGTGGTTTCATTAAAAGAATACTAGGTGACTTTTATATGATCTTAAAAAATGACTTTATAATTCAAGATTATTATTTTTTTTTCTAAAAACTTTATAAATTTTGTCTGAAACATTTTTTGCACGATATTAAATTTCGGACAAAACACTTTGTAACATTTTATGCGAAAAATATCTTGTGTATATATATATGTATATATATATTTCCCATGTTCACAATACAGACGCTTCTTTTGTACATAAATGAGAAGAAGTAACATGTAATCGTTAACGATAATGATATACAACGCTGATGAGGGCGTGTGTGTTTTTATTTGGAATGAATCTGTGATGTATCTGGGATTAATAGGTTCAACTGTGTTACGTACCAGTGCAAAGCATAGCCTGTAGTCCGAACTAAGAATGAGAGGGAGAGAGAGAAAGAGGAAGAAAGCGTGGGAGAATATGTCGAGTTTCTCGAAGAAAATGCCGTACAATGTATTCTGGTACAATACCAGAGGAAATCGAGAATCAATTTAGCGACAAGAAATCAACTTTCGAGGTCGTTCTCTTCTTGGTAAGGTGGTTTTAAGAAAACGAAAAAAAAATCGTAACGATAAGTGTTGTACATAGTATATAATATTAATTTCTAAGTTGAACAAGTAATATGGCTAGATTATATCCGTACATATGCTATCGTATAAGGAGTTTAGGTTTAGCGATAAATCGACGTAGCTAGCATTTAGGGGTTTAGAACAGCCACGAACTGATTTTAGGGGAAGAACTTCCTCCCGAACTACGTTCTCTTATTAATAAATGACAGCGAAACATATATACACAGGCGAATTAAAAATTGATGGAATTATTCATTAAGCGAAATTCGTTCTAGACTTATTTCATCTGTGTTTCAGAACCGCATCCGAATATGTACATTTTAACTATCAAAATACACACATGTACACGGAATAAACACGCACACACACACACACACATACATACACATACATATTTACATATTTTTTATACAGCCTAATTTTATACTTGTAGCTTCAACTGTCTTGCGATCCGCGCCTTTGTTTCTTCGTCATCGCGAAACGAATTCTTTAAGTATCGTCGCGAGAATTATTTCTTTTAACGTGCACGATTGCTACTATCGTGTTATTCGCCGCATCTGCCGGATTCCGCCACGATTATAATATATATTCCGCATTGTTTCGCGCGCGACTGAGATACCAAGACTCTACAGAGATTCACTGTACAAAGACGACTGCCTCCATTCGTACGCCGGCGATCGGGCGATCATTCTCATTCATACTTTTCGCTTTCCTTCGCATCCTTGACTATACAACGAGCGAACACTTTCTCTGTTTAAAGATTCTCTCGTTTTTTTTATATTCTCTCTCTCTCTCTCTTTCTCTCTCTCTCTCTCTCTCTCTCTCTCTCTCTCTCTCTCTTCTTTTTCCTTCTCTTTCTTCTCCTTTCGCCTTCTTTAGCGAAGGGGAGTTCGTGACACGCAGCACGCCGATTCTTTTTGTCTCTTGCATGAAAAGCCAGTCGAATCGGCGGATCTCGCAGACAGCATGTCGTGTAAAGACGCATCTCTACGAAGATCCTTTGTTGTATAAAATAATTGCCGAGGTCCTGACAAAACCGTCGAATGCTTCCAGAGTATATAGGTGAAGACAGAGATCATGTACACGTACACACACACACACACACCCCACACTGTAGAAAGGTGAATTAATCTAGGTAGCCTGAGATACACAACATTCGCACACGCAACAACGAGACAGCCGGTGTGGTGCGATCTTTGTACTTCTTGCTTAAAGGAGTGTCCTCGGCGTGTCACGTTTTTTCTTCTCATATAGTACCTGAGCGACACACACACACATATATGTATACACATACAAAATGACACGCCTTGTTCAGCGATCGCAACCCAAAGTGGACCTACGAGTCTAATCCAATCTAGAATAGTTCTGGATTGGATTGGACGCTCATCACCTCCCGATGAAAAATCGCAACCGAAAGGATCCTAGGAAATGCCTCAAACGTTTCAAACATTCGAGAGATTATATCACAAGTACTTGGAATGGAATTTATAAAATGCCTCTCTTCATTTCTCGCGCATGTATGTTGTCTACGTCCTGTTCCGGTTTATCAAATTCATCTGGAGCCGCATCATTTTATAACGTGATTACTCGCGTTCGAGATACGCTTCGGCCTTAAAGGAGCAACATTGAGCACATGTGGCGTATGTGACAAAGATTCGCTTGTACGTAGGCCGCGAAAACACATCATCTACAGACATAGATACATACACACGCGCATGCATGGAGATGATAACGAGACAAGTTCCCGTTTTCAGAGAGAAAAAAAAAAAAGATCGGCATGTACATATGATATATGACAAGTGTAGCGAACTCCTTTTCGTTGATATACATATATATATAAAATAGAGAGGTCTCCGAGATGTCGAGTCTTTCATCAAGTCGATTATTGTGTGTGCGGTGATTTTTTCACGTTTCTCAATAAACTCTGTCGCTCTGTCTTTCTCTTTCGCTCTCTTTCGCAAACTCAAGAAATATATCGAACAAGAAAAAACTCAAAGGGGATTCAATGGCGATTTACAATCTGGCTTTATTGAACATTTGAGAAAATCCTATAATCGGTTGAAAAATAAATTACTTTTCTCTGTCTCAAAAATTATTATGTATTATATGTTTGATATCAATATCCGTCTTAAAAGTTAAAAATTAACTTATAATAATATTCAATTATAGTAATATTCAATTATAGTTTAAATAATATAAAATACATTTATAAATATATTATTTATAAATATTATAAATATATTATTATTATTATTATTAGTATATATTATTAGTAAAGAAATTAATACCATTCTCTTGTGAAAAACGTAATTTAAATTTTCCAGATCAGTAAAAGCAAGATGTAAGTTTCAAAGATAATTTTTCTTGAAATTATAATTGTGCACACAGCAGAAATTTTTCTTATTGTGATACAATAGAATGATTAAATCTCGATTCGAGATTCATTTTTAATAAATCTCGTCTCCCTTTGTTCTCTCTTTAAAGAGACATAGGTATGTTAAAAAATAATTAAAACAAAGACATTGAATCGGGAAATTTTTTGAATTTTGCTTCGATTTTTTTCTAACGTACGCTTCTTTAATAACAATTATCTGTTTTAATTGCTTATTATAAGTTTTTTTGTACAATGGCTTTTACGTAAAAATATACTGATTCAATTTTCGAGTTTGCTATTAGGAAATTTTGACAAGAATTAATTTTTCATGAGATTTACACAGGGTGGTTAAAAGTCTGGAAACAGTCAATTATCTCCGAAAATAGTGGTCCTGTGGGAAAATATTTCAGATAAAAGTTGAATATGAAGAATAAATGTAATAAAAAAATAGGGGGTTCTGTTTAAGAAATTGAAGGTGATCTTAACGTGATCTTAACTCTTCAAGGTCATAATAATATTATTGTGTAATGCATCACTTAAAACTCTGAAACTTTTCTCTGAAACATTTTCCCACAGGACCACTATTTTCGGAGATAATTGATCGTTTCCAGACTTTTAAACCACCCTGTATATGATTCTTACTAGGCTGAGATATTTGAATTTTATAAATATATATTTTCAAAAAATATAACTATGTATGCAATTATATAGTTAATTAGGAAATTAAAATCGATTTTCTCATGTGTCTGAAAAAAATATCTTTGTGATCGCATTTGCAATTCTTTGAAGAAAACGCTTGGTGCGCGTGCAAGCAATCTTCTATAATAATACTATAATACTAATGAAAGAAAGGAAAAATAGGGACGTCGGGGGTGCTTTTCTTAAAGGAGAAAAAGAGAGAGAGAAAGAGAGAAAAGAGGATGCGTTCTTTGTAGCGAAAAGAAATGGGGCGAGGCGAAGTTTATCGCTGTAGCTGTCATGCTGTCATCTAGACTAGAGTTTTAGGCGACGTAGAAGCGCGAGGACTGTCGCGTGTATATGTACCTACACACTCACTTTATGACACGTTGAGGAAAGATGATCGACTAATTTGTTCGGTGTGTCCATCGTTCGATCCCTTTACGACGTACGCGGAAGAAGACGAAGTCTGTACATAGTGATATGATAACGCCGAGGTACACACACAGCTCCCTCCCAATTGTTGTATCATAATAATAATATTAATAAAATAATAATAATAATAACGACAAACATCAGTAATGATAATGATAATGAATGCATATGGCGCGATCGCAGAACGTCGAGCTAAAGGAATAAAGAAGAAAAAAAAAAGGAGAAGATGAGAAGAAGAAGCGAAACACTCTATCTAACGAAACGTGATTATTATCCACGAACACACGCTCTGTTAATGCGATTAATTAAAAAGAAAAAAAAACAAAGTAACTGAAAATTAATTATAGCGAGCGAAAGCATACCACGCCTACAGTAAAAACTACAGATGTAGCATACACGATAATATTATTATCAAAACAGTTCAATGTAAATTGTTATTTTTGTTGAAATAAAAATCACCTCCGTTATAATAATGAGCATTTTCTCGCTGTCGCATTTATTTTCTCATTTCTCTCGGAAAATAATATATAATACAAACTCAAGATTTTGCAGAAAAATATATAGCTAATTATGAAAATAGCATAACCGCACAAGTGCAAAATTGAGAAACAAAATTAGTCACGAGACAAATTTTTTCGTTATGATTTTACAAGTGAGCTTATTTGGAAATGATTATTTTGTTTCTTAATAATTAAAACAAGATGATGTTTCTTTCCAAGGCATAAAATTTACGAATAATTTTATCAAAAACTTACTATAATTACCCTTTTGGACAAAAATTGATTATGATCATCAAATTGATTTCTTTATTTTGTTTTTATATAAAGCGCATACAAAATATATATACAATATGAATATTTTCATCGTTTTGTTGAATAATGCAAACATTTCTGTTGGTCTATTATGAAAAATATTGTAACAATCTATATAAACTTATATTTAACTTCCATACAAATTGCGTTCGTAGTGATCAAAATTCACTCTCGTCTTGTACATTATAACTACAAAGTAATGTAAGGATGAGTATATTTACAAGGCACTTACATGTGAAAAAAGATACAAGTGCATTGAAATATATATAGATGAAAAGATATAACTTTATAAAATTAAGATATAACTTTATAAAATACTATCCATCTAAAATTGTATTTATTTAATGAAATCAATTTGTTCATAGGAATATTGTCATTATGATTAAGTTAATATTAAATGATAATCCATAAAATAAAAAATAAGAATACAATCAAATACTCAAATAAGTTAAATTCTACTGAAGTAAAATTTAATATAGAGCATTAATAAAATTAATAAAATTAATGCTCTATTGACATTTTAATGGTGTAATAACTATTTTTCGATTGCTTCAGCAATACAAATTAAAATACTTATATACACTTACATATAGTTCATATTCTTTTCATTTTTCAAGTATTTTAAATCTATACAATATAGCTGCCTTATTCATCACTTTCCAAATTAATACAATAAAATTCTCTTCATTTAATAAAAGATATAAAAGACTATATCAATTATATAAACTATACATATATATTGCATGTTCCATTTTAAACGATCTTCTTAAAAAGAACTTTTTATTATTTTCAATTTGCATAGAATTCATGTATATGGGGGGTATATGACAACCAAAGATATCATTGAATAATCACCTAAGCATTCATGCAAATATGTCTATAAAAAAATGAAGATTCTTGAGAGTATGGAAAGAAACATGAAAAAATGCGAAAGATAGTGATAGGACAATACGAAGTACAAAAAGATTACAAGTATTTGTGTGTATGTATTAATACTAAGTATCTTGGTGTATTAGAGCATTGATATTAATTTAATTTGGTTCAGTCTATTACCGTCCAATACAATTAATAAAAGAAGATATTAAATCAAGACAATTTCATTTTGTATAAAATTTAATATAATTTAAAAAAAAAGTTTCAGAAGTTGTATGATCTGGAAAAATAATGGTGAAATATATTTCTGAAAAGAACATTTTAATACCAGCAGTATCAGAAATTTGCGATATCTTCAAAATCAACAAAAATAGAAATTGCAGATCTTTGAAAATATTTCAATGTTAGCTACAAGAATCTGCTATCAAAAATAGAACAATTCATTTAAAAACTAAAAGGTGACTTTTAAGATTTTAAAAAAATTGATTTTTTGAAAAATTAATTTCATCGTTACTTATTCTCTTTTACATCATACAAATTCCGTCTAAAAAATGTTTTCTAAAAATTGAAAATAAAAAAAATTCGAGAAAGCAATTATTTAAAATGGGACATCCATATAATATACATGAACATTCTAATGTGTGTGTGTGTACACACACACACACACACACACACACACACACACACACACACACACACACACACACACACACACACACACACACATATATATATATATATGTGTAAATATATATATATATATATATATATATATATATTATATATATATATATATATATGGAAATATTTTTCTATAAATTATTGAAGTTATATATATTAGTTGGCAGCTCTTTCTGTGTCTGCATATTGTCTATTGCATCAAAAACAACTAAGAAATAAATAAAATAAAATTACTTCTAGTTAATATTTTCCAAACTCCGAGATATTCGTAGAAAATTTATATTCTTTGTTCAAATTGAATAAATAATCAGATTAATATTTGATTCGGATATTAAATAAATCGAATGTACCTTCTCAAAAATGTTTCTATATGTTTCTGTATATTCTCAGTCATGTATAGTCACACTCTATATAGATATTTAATAGAAATATTGCCATGTTTTTACGTAAAAGATGAAGTCATTTTACTTTTCTATTCAAATACATGCAGTTTTGTATTGCATTTTATTTTCAAATGAATATGAATGTCATAGTAATATCCGTGTGTCTACCTAGAAACAAATTTAATATTACATTTGAAGATATCCTTTTTTTATACAATGTATATACATATAAATAGTAACATCTCTATATATTTAAATCGGAGCATATGCAAATTATATTATATATCTTTTTATGTAACAAGTTCGAAAAATATTTATTTTATCTAAGGCATTTTTAAGATTTATAAGAATGCATCAGTAATAATTTCTCGAAATATATATATGAATTAGAATGTATGCATATATATATATATATATATATATATATATATATATATATTCTAATTCAATACTGTAATTTTTTTTATATTGAACGATTAATTAAAGATATATACTGCATGTTTATATGATGTATAAGTATTGAAAAATTAATTGATATATTATGCGCACAATCATTACCATATATTGCTGGAGGTAGTTTTTCTTCATTTTCCAACAATGAGACAATAGTTTTAAAATAGAAATATTAATATTCCGCGCCTAAGTGTGATATGATCATTTAATTCCTAAAACTTGTAAACAATTGTATACACATCTATTCTTGTACTAACATATGTGTATCTTGTACTAACATATGTGTAGCAAAAGTATCACAGAACGATGTTATTTGTTCTCAAAGACATGTACTTAAAAAAATACTGCATTGTTTAATATTAATTATTACGCACATACAAATATAGCAATTAATACAGAATTGTGATTCCAAGTCTCATCTTTTTGTGTATGTGCGCGACAAAATTTGTATAAAAATACTACATTTTATCTATTCTAATTTTTTATATTATTTTACTTTAATATCTCTTACTATTTTATATTAAGTAAAATAATATAAAATAAGAGTATAACTTATATATTATATAATATATTAAAGATATATAATGAATTTGTGTGATATATACAATAGGCAAGGCAGGTTTCGTCTTCTTCTACTCTCTTAGTAATAATAAATTCAATCATCCTATGAATATATGCGTCGAACACAAATGACTCGAACGCGATAAAAAAATACCATCATTCGTAATACGAGGTGTACAATACGTTCCACAGAATGGCTGCGGTCATGAGACCTATAAAAGTGAACATGCTGGCCCACCAAACAACTTTCTCCCAAGTTTGTACTTCGAGATTTCGAAGGATATTTATGCCGACTAGAAGCCCCGCTACAGCGCCGGCTAAATGGGCCACGTATCCGACTTGGTCATTGGTGTCGAGGACATATCGATTGTACACAGCTTGACCGACGTCGACGCTCGTGACAACAAGGAACACTAATAGTTGCAGGACGGCGAATTCCATTTGCGACCAATTCATTATGATAGTCGCCACGTGAGCGGTAATCAACGCGTATACGCCGCCCGATGCACCAGCTAAGTAAACCGTCGGATCCGAGACGGATGTACCAAGCGAGCCAGCTACGACTCCGGCTATATATATTATCAGTACTCTCCACCATTTATGAACCATTTCCAGCGGAATGCCCAACATAATTTGTACCAGTAGATTAACAACCAAATGAAAGATTCTACAGAACATAAAAAACAGAGATTTAAAAGTAAATAAATTAGAAAAAATACACACCATTTTTATTTAATTACTTCTAATATATTTCTATGCAAATAAATTGTGTAAAATGATTAAAATATATACGTACCCAACGTGTACAAACATATACGTTAAATATCGCCAGGCTTGGTACCTCTTGTGTGGATTATAAATAAATAACGTTGCTGCCGGGCCTTCTACAGACAGAGATTTGTGCTTAATCACATCATACATGAACAAAATGATTTCTATTATCGATATGATTATCATTGCTATGGCTGGCGGTCGACAGCTGTACTCATCTTCGTACAGCCCATCCGGATAGTCGCTAGAGTACAGAGAAGATTCCGTTATTGTACTTGTTTGTTGTTGTAGACGCTGTAGTTCGGTAATACGTGTAGAGCGGCGTCTTTTATTAGTCTTAAGACTGGCAGCCTCGAAAAAAGAATCGCCGAAGCTCGAAGGAGAAGGAGGAGGTGGTTGTGAGTGTATACTCATTTGTGGCTGTACTACAATACTCATTTGTCGCTGAGGATAATACCTCGAGCCCATGGAAGTTTGCCTCATTGTGCGGCTTGGTCGTTGAGGTATCACAGATTGCACGTATCGTTGCACGAGGTGTCCGAATATACCCTGCATGTCCTTTCTGTGAATCTGAAATAATAAGAGAAACGATCGCGATGAGCCATTGGCAATTTTTTGTAACATCAACATATATTTCTTGCAATTAGAAATAAAAATGAAAAAAAAAAAAGATATTTTCAATATATAGTAATTTACAGAGAAATCTGAAATAAACTTTGACCAACCATTGCTATAAATTCTGGATATTCTAAATAACCAGATTGATCCAGATCCGCCTTTCGCATTATTGTGCGAATTACTCCAGCAGGAATATCATTGCAAAATTCTGGACCACATATCATCGCTTTTAGCTCTTGTAACGATATTTTCCCATCTCCGTCCAGATCATACTTTTCAAAAATAGCCTTCCAATGCTGTAAAATAAGGAAGAACAATTTTATAATATATTCATATTTTTTTTATATACATACAAGTATTTAACACAAATACTAGTATTTTTATAAATTGCCTTAAATTGCGATCAAATGTCGTCAGCAATAAACACACTACTATTTTTCATAGATACGATTATAGTTTATAGTCTTACGAATTACTCATACACATAAACTGCTAACTCATATGTATGAATCATTTGAAGATAAAACTATATATAAACTAATATATAAATAGTTAAATAGAAAAGAACGAAATCTCACCATGATAAACATGTTGTAATTAATAAATGTTATAATTAATAATGAATACACATTTTTGTTAAAAAATGTTTTATATCTCTTTCAACAAAAGCATTCATGCGAAGCATTGCTTCTATATCATTAATACGTGTACTTGACTAAACAAAAGTATACAAAATATTACTTACAGCTTCATTATACTGCAGCGGGATGGTCACTGCAGTCTCGCCCTCTCGATTAGACATTCTTATCAACTTGAAACCTCTGCAATATAAATATTACGTGCGTTAACACATGGGTATCCCACACCTTCGGTAATCAAACACATATTACTCATACTATTCTAATTGCATAACTAATCACAGTGGATTTTTCACTCTCTCGAGTTTCCGCCAAAGTATTACGTTGCCTCTCACTGCAGATTATTTACTTACTAATGATTACAAGGGACATATATATCTATATTGGAGTCTCTCTCGAGGATAGACGCCGAGAAGGAAGATTCTCCTGACTCGAGACGCACCTAAAAGAGACGAACTCGCGCGTTAACGGAGGAACACGTTTTACCTGACGCAGACGGCCCTCGCTTCGCACGAGGATAAGGCGTGACTCGGCTCACCTGTGCGTAACCGTGAGTAACCGGGACTATTCTATTCTACATCGCAAATACTTGACACACTCGCACGCACGTACACCACGTCACACCGGGTCTCGTGTGTCGTATATTGGGCGGTCATTCGGTTCGCGATAGCGCCAGCGATGGTGACACATTTCCTCTTATCTCGGACGAGATACGCGCCCCGGAAAATCGATAAAGCCAATCTGTTCACGTTATTCCCGCCACGACGAGTGCCGCCTCTCACACATATGATGATGTACGTATCACGGTGGCAATATTTCAAAATTTTCTGCAGGTGACATCTCCTAATGATGTATCCTAACCTTCGAGTGCTTGACAATTTTAGCAGGTCGATTCGAGGTCTCTGGGGTGACGGAGAAACTTGAACCTATATCGACAGCCGCTTCCGAATGTCTTGAGAGAAAGAGAGAGACGATCAGATATATAAGAAGGGAATGCACGTCAGTGACGTGTCATTGACCTCTCACCGCGTCTCTTTCCCTCCCAGTGACAGATCGAATTTTCCGCGCTCGATTCGCTCGCAGGTTTAACGGCCCGCGTGTTTTAACGAGGACCTTGTAACGGGACTCGGAAACGACCGGATCTTCTCTCTCGCGACGAGATACACTCTCGGGTATGCAGATTCGACGGAGATTTTCGAAGTCATCGGTCGGAAAGTGTACCGCGAGAAAATCTCTTTGACAGTTCCTTGACCTTTTCTTTGACAATCCTCCCTTGAGCCTCCCCCCTTCTCTCACTCTTTTCGTTTCGTCCGATTGATATAATGGAAATTGGATTTGTCTTTTTAATCGAATTTTCGCGCATGTATTCTTATTTTGAAAGATACGCGTTGTTGCAAGCTTATCCCCACTCACATTCCTCACGTGCACTTGTGGAAAGGACTTTGCGCGCTCTTTCGAGGTACGCTCTTACGAAGGATTTCGCTAATTATAATATACACATGCGATAAATGCGATTTATTTGAAAAAATGCACCGAGAAATCCTGAAAATATCTAGAATTTTGAATAAAAATATATTTAAAAGAGTAGAACATTTTCAGAGAAAATTTTCTTTTTTTTATAAGATTTGAATGGACACTAAATATCCCAGTAAGCAAGAAACATTTGATCAACATTCTAAAATGTTGATTTTATATAAATTTTCTAAATATTTCTAGATATAATGTTTTATAAATATTTTAAAAATATTTTAATAAATGTATTAATAACATTTAAAAAAATATTTTAATTTATGTTTTATAAATATTTTAAAAATATTATTTAATAACATCCTTCTCAAAATATTAATAAAATATTTTAGAAACATTAGTCAAAATGTTTCTTAAATGTTATTAATACGTTTATTAAAATATTTTTAAAATATTTTTAAAATATTCTAATAAACGTATTAATAACATTTAAAAAATATTTTAATTTATGTTTTATAAATATTTTAAAAATGTTATTTAATAACATTCCTCTTAAAATATTAATAAAATATTTTAGAAACATTAGTCAAAATGTTTTTTATATGTTATTAGTATGTTTATATATTATAAATAAAAATATAACATCCAGTTACAAGTTCGTTCGCGTTGTTATTAAGCGTTGTATTATTTATTTCATACATATCTTTAGACTATTTTTTTTCATAATATATCTTAATTTCATTCTCGTAACGGGCTTGACGACACTTATATCTTATTGAGAAGCAACATTCGGTGAGATATGCGTATACACTCTATTGCGTATGCGTGATTTATTGTTTTGTTCTTTGACTTTGGAACACTCGTGCCGGCTGCCAGCGTGCCACGTGCTCTTACACGATCTCGCATAATAAATAAGTTACAGTGTTTTTGCGAGTTATAGTGCTGCACGAAAGAAGAGGAAAGTGTTTCTTCCAGTGTGTTATAATATCTTGTGAATTATTTTTAGAGATATATCTAAATATTCGTTCTCAGATTTTTCAGTGAAAGTTCTAAAAGTCTCCAATTAATGTTAGAATTAATATATTATTATTGTGATATTAATATTAAGTTATGTAGATGTTGATACTAATGTTATTTTATTATTGATTTAATTTTAGAAACACATTATCAGAATGTTAAAAGAACATTAATACAGTATTACTTGTAACGGACATAGAAAATGTTATTTCAACATTACTGAAATCTCTAAATCGGTGTCAAACTTTGTTCATAATGATGTTGCATACATTGTTAAAAACTCCATACTTGACAACATTACTATGTTAGTGAATATCATTTAAATAACGTTGTAGTAATAATTTTTTGCTTACTGGGATATGCTACAGGATGAATAAAAAACGAAGAATTTTCTGCTTTATTCGGCTGAATTTCTTCCCACAGATAGATGGATTCTTCTTACGGAGAATGTCAGATTCGAAACAATTCAAGATTTTATAAAAACCTCGCAAATCGATATCAAATATTACGCCGTATTTATACCAAGAATTTCTTGTCTAATCGAGACAAGAGCTGTGGCATTCATCGTTTCCTGTTGTATTAGCTTGGCACATTATATTATACACATTATACTGATTCATCGGAAATTCGCTAATGATGCTACGAAGAAGAGAGAGAAAGAGACTCTTTGCACACGGGTAAAGTATGAAAAAAAAAACCTGTGTCACGATTACATATTTAAAGGCATGAATTTTATGCGGTTTGTAATTAATTTTTCAGGAAACGAAGAAGAGTTGTATGCGACGTTTTCCTTACACAACCGCAACAATACCTCGAGTTGGATTTACTTCACATATGTCATCGACGAGGTTGCCTAGCGACGAATGAGTCAACAAACGAATCCTGGATCATTGACAGTCAAAAATGAGTCGGCGAGCTGTGACTCATTCATTATTTTCGATTCTGTTTTTTTCGACGACAATCAAATCCTATTAATATCACGTGATAATTTGAAAATGTCGTGCAAAGTGGAAAAGATGAAGATAACTGCGAGTTATAGAGTGAACGAACCGATAAATAATTTGAAGATAAGGTAATGTATCGTTCCTTATATTAGCTTATTATCAGAAAAATAGAATTAATTAAAATTAGAATTAATTAAAATTAGAATTAATTCCAATTTGAGAGCCAAGTTTCTTTAGTGTTGAGAAAAATGTTTAAAAACAAAAATCTCATTTTTACGTTAAATTATATTTTTTATTTTATATTATAATTATTAATATGTAGAATATACAGAGTGATTTGAAACAATCAAACTTTGCCAGTACGTTTTATGTATTATTACATTACATTGAAAACAAAATTTGTTTAATATTTCATTAAAAAAAAATGCTGTCTGCTGTTTCTAATGTAAAATTGATATCGTTAAGAGACTGAATTTAACGTGAACTTTATATAATAACTTTATATTATATAATTTGCTTTAATTCAGTGAATGCATCATTGAATCTATTTATCAGTCTCTGTCGCGCGAATCGAGCCTTGGATGATATATTATCTTTTTTTTGCCTCAGATAAAAGTTTAGCGATGTAAGGTCTGGTAATCTTGGGGGCCAAACAATTAGAGATTAGATAAACGTCATCGATCTACTCTTACATCATAATGTTATTAACGAATCTACTATTAATCTTTGATATCTTTTATCTTATAATAATATTTTAAGCGTTTTCGGGTTTATATTTTTATGTAACATTTTCTTTTCTATTTCTAGAAATAGAAATAACATATTGATGATCGTTTAGTTTTGAAACATTTTGCATATGAAGCCTTGGTTTTGAGATAGAATTTAATTTAATTTAATTTAAAAAAAATATATGAAGCTGTTAAAAAACGGTTTATCGATGGAAAAAATCAAATTGCAAAATTATCAATTCTTTATATTCTTGCACATAGTTGATAATTCTCTTCATCAATTGTAATTCTTAAATTTAAAAAATTTGTATTGCAGAGTTTCTGCATATCTGCATAGCGCTAAACCGGTATGAAACTCTTCCAAAGGCGCGAAGGTTACGGAGAAACAGCGTATTTATTATTGATTCATTACTTTTCCGTTTATCTTTTACGATGCATCAACTTCTTCGTTCTTCTATTAGACCTGTTATCTGAATACATTTGTATAATCAATCAACGCAAGGTCGCGTCATTTTTCATTTAACTCTTTATCAGATTTTTTTATATACTCATCATTAAACGTTCCTTAATTTTCTTCTCGATAAATGCTTAATTGAACAATCTTTACGCATTACAAAGAATTCCGCATTCTTTCGCGAAGATTAAAGACGCGAAGATTGAAATCGAAGGAGTTGTTTGCTCGTGTCGATATGCGTAAAATTATTGAGATTGTTACATAACTATGTAACTGCGCGTATATCGCCTTTCTTTCTCGTCAGCATATTGCTGACACGTGCCAGACACTTGCAATCCGTAATTACGGATATCTTTTGTTTCAAGATAATTAGATTCTTTATTTTTTTCTTTCTTTGATTTATCATTTTTCAGGAGAATACTGCGGGAATTCCATATATTCTAAGATTTTTACAGTGTCACCTTCACAATGAACGACGATAGGAAGTTTCAACATCTTGTATAAAATTTAAATATCGTGTGAAATTTTTTAATATTGTTAATTATAATTTAAGATACATATTCAAGAAATATTTATAAAAAATATTTACATCTGTCAAGCATTAATACCTTTTATCGTGTGGAGAAAATTTTGAAGATCTCTTGCACTACAAATTATAAATGAAGCTGTTCGCAAAACTTAACGCGCACTCAATCTTTCCCATAATTAAATCACACACAGATAAGAAAAAATAGCAAAGATGATAAATAGAGATATTAAATTCTTCCTGATTTCACAGAATCGAAATCAAACTGAAGAATCCCGGACACACATCTGTGGCTGCGGATCACCTTTTCCGATTTACACCAGATATCATTTCATCAGCGTTCGTTTGTTGTTTCAGAGTGCGAGTCGCGCAGCAGATATCTCCACTGGCCGAGCTGTTGGCCGAGGAGTCCAATGGCGGCGAGACCAGAGACTCAAATTTCTTGGAGGAGGAAGAACGTATTTTTAACTGGCAGGAGAAGGTGTTCGGTCCATTCGAAATAGATTTCTATGCGGACGAGAAGAATTGTCTGACCGATTGTCAGCGAGAGTATCATCGACGTATCAGCGATGAGCAGCTAGAGGGTGCCCGATTATATTCTTACACAGAAAACGACTCTTACTACGTCGACGATGATCTTTTGACGACACCTTACAGGCAGGAATTGGATTTGTGTGACTTTTTTTTTGATAATTTATTGATATATAAAAATCATTTTAATTGTAACAAATTTTGAAGAATTATTTTATGCCTATTATAACGTAAAATTTACATAAAGTAACTATAAAATAATTTATTTATTATTTTCTATCATTCAAATTAACTCTTTACATATCCTAATAATCTGTTACTTTTATTAGCTAAATAATTTAGATAGTTTAATATATAAAATTTTATTTATTGATAAAACGCAATTTATTATAACTAAATTTCATTTTCTCAAAATGTAAAGTTGAGATATAAAGAAAAAATAATTTTTTAATAATTGTATTTGACTCTTGCAGGTCCTATCTATCGATGAAGAATCAAACCGCGCTGCCGGCCATACAGAATCGTAAGCCCTTCCAGGAGCGATATAATAAGAGTGTGCTAGACGACAGATCCACAAATGCCAGGATCCGATCGAGCCATTATCTCTACACCGAACGCATCAGCATGCATGTGATGGCCGATCTATCTCGTAGAGACGAGCCTGCGATCGACGGATTGGCGGACTCGGAAACGTTACTTTGCTCTGTGACTTATGACAAGGCGCGCAAACAGCTGACGATTAGTCCCGATTTCACGATCGACGCCGAGCACGAGCGTTACTATAGCGTCATTAATAGCCACGGTGTCAAGTTCAATTATTGGATCGAACATGTTTCCGCGAGACCAACATCGACGGAACTACAGGAGCAACGCGAAACTACGCGGCGTGTAAGTATGCAGTTATTTACGATGGATAATTTTCGCGACATTCCAAGCTTCCGTGTCATCACGATTATTGCATCAAAAAGATAAACACTTTTTATGGGAGAACGGTATTCTTGAGCGACATCCGTTTATGCGGCACAGTTACATTTATATCCGGCTCTCCTTCAGCTCTGACTCATCTCTTTTTAACATTCTTTTTATGATATATTATTATATTTACGATAATATTAAATATAATAATAGTAATATTCTAGATAATATTTTATTTCTTTTAATAATTTTAATGTTATGTCATAAGTATAATATACATATAAATGTATATAATAAATATGTATATTGCTAGCACTTGAATATAGTTAAAGCAAACAGTAAGAAACGGAAAAATATAAATTTAAAGCCTCTTTATTTTTTTCTACAAAATTATCAATTTTATTTAATTTATTACGGTGTATTTTTTAAATTTAGAATTATATTGTATGTTAATACGAGAGAGATCAATGCAGATATACATATTTAATACAATATAAATGTAAAAATATTGCCAATAGTAAAGTGCTATATTGAAATCAAAAGTTCATCCGTCATCATTACTCTGCAAAAAACGAATGTGCAATAAGACATACATATGATGCAATTATGGGAATTCACAACGATGACGATTGCGAATTATTTGCACAAACGTCAATATTTATTCAGTTGAAAATCTACACACACACACACACACACACACACACATACACCTTCTATTAATATTGCATCTTTAAATATACATAATTGAGAAATGAAAAAATTATATTAATTATATTAATATTTAATATTTATCGCGACAAAAAATGGCACAACATTTTCGAGAAAAATGTAATAATAATTAACCAAAATTAATCATTTAGTAAAAAACTAAATTATATATATTATGTAATTATATTTAATTAAATAATTTTAAATATCACATACGCAAAAAGATACATAAAAGATACATAAACAATTATAAACTAACAATTTACTTTAAAGATTAGAATGCACTTGTCGAACTTCCCTCTTAAAACAGTTCTCAAGTTATGCGATAATGTTTAGATATGGATAAACGACGACGCGGCACGTGGAAAACGTTGTTTATCGAATTGAAAAAATTGATGAAGTAATTTGATATACATGTTTATTCACTCGCCTACAAGCAAAATCAATTATTGTTAACTCGATTCGGGAATTGCGAAAAATTACAGTGAGTTTGCCGCGATGAGGAACTCTTGCTTATTCTTAATATTGGAAGAATATTGAGAAAAATTTTATGTTTTTTGCTTACACAACTATAATATTGTCAATAATAAATTTCTGCGCTGATTAAGTATTATAAAACACTTGTTAATTAGAAAAAAGAAGAATACGTACCCCACGTAGGAAATTTCCGAAATTTGCCGCATCGTTCTTCGCGGATAGAACATGATTGTTACGCCGGATTATTATTGCAGAAATTATCTTCGCCTGGAGATTATGACATCTTCGAGAAGATCCGTTCGTTTCATCGTTCTTCCTTCCGATTGTTTAAGACACACCCAGACGATTTTCGCAGCTCATCGATTTTGTTGTACTCTCGCGCATGATTAAATAATTAATGAAGAAACTGTTATCGAGAATTAGCTGCTCGGGATATATCGATATGACAATCACGTCAAGTGTATCGATGCGCGCACGTATATTCACTGAGCCAAGTTGATCACCGCACTACCCACGATCAACTGAATCCTATGGTTCTCCGAATGTCTTCTTCACACTCTCTGCCATGAGATTGTATGTTAGTGCTATCAGCCTATACGTGTGTATATATAGTTTACACTGTGCACAGTGGGGCAAGAGTATATCTACAAACACAGAAGTAGCTTTCATATATTCTATACCGCTAATAGAGGAGTAATCTACACGTTTGCACATCGCTGCACCTCACTGCAAAGTGACGGAATCGGTATTAGTATTTTGCGGAATTTCATTGTGCGCATATAGTGAAAATATATATATGTACACAGATCATATTATGATTTGCTTGAAACATTGTCTTATAATTTAGATATTTGCTAATTCAACAATTTTTCACTAATAAAAGCGATTTCTTTTATTCTAAAGGAGTTCTATCTATATATCCTCCGAAATAATTAAATATATAAAAATATATTTTTTATATTAAATAATATACTTTGCGATGTAAACGTATGTAATTAAAAATTATCAAGTTAAATACAGATTTATTGTAAATTATTTAAGTATTAATTATTAATTAATTGAAAATTAATATTTTTCTCGTTGCAGGAAGTACAACAACAGCTTGCTTACAAAGAAGTAGAATTATACAAGGAACTGCAATTGCCACCAGCGAATTTCTCTACTCTATTTTTAAATTTAGACATTGTGTCAGCTCATGGTTTTTCTTATGATGGATTGTTTATTAGCTATTTTGTCGATTTGCCACAACATTGGACTACAAAACAAAAAGAAAAATTATTCGGGAGAACACAGAGGTGTCTTTTAGAAAATAAATCGGCGCATTTTAGTTATTGTACCGATATATCTTTACATTATCCATCAAATGAATCTCAACAATTAAGTGGCGATACATTGTCAATACTTTGGCCTCGTTTGTTATTTTCTGTGGCGTCTCTAGATAGTTGGACCAGGTAAAGAACAAAACTTTATTTGTTGATATATTGATTTTTATGTAATCTTAATAATTTCATGTTACTTTTCACATATAATTTTTTTCTTATTTTTTAAATAAAATTAGTTTAAAAAGAAATTCAATTTTAATGTAGGTATCGAATAGACGGATATGCAGCGTTACCAATACCAATGACACCTGGTACATACAAATTTACAATTCCTACATGGCGTGCAAAAGGCAATATCATCGACACTTTGCGACGTTTTTTCGTTGGCGGTTCTTACGAGCTCGAAGATATTACATATTGTAGTATTCCAATGGCACATGAGTGTAAAGTTTTAGACAAATCAAAGTTAAAGGTTGTATCAAGTGGAGATATTAAAATTAATATGAATATTGTAATTCAAAATGCTTCACACATGAAACATTTTAATTATGAAATCGATAATTCTAATAGAGTAAGCACCGATGCGCTCATAAATAATGTTGAAAATGTTCTCGAACAATTTAAAGCAGCTAAGGAACGCATGATACGAATAAGAAAGATTAATTCCTAAATATAAATTACTCCAAATAATGACAAAATACTGCAAACAATAATTTAAAAAAATAAAAAGACTGATTAAAATAAACATTCTGTAAATAAAATGTAAATTTTTCTATGTACAGGAAAGATATAAAACTAATTAGAAATGAATTTTTATATTATCTATATTTAATATTTTATATATAACATTCAAATTCAATATATATATATATATATATATATATATATATATATATATATATATCACAGTAGATGTGTCTGTCATAAAAACTCATATTAATTATAATAAATTTTAATATTTTATGTCCTTTATAATTAATAGATGATTGTGAACTAAAATTTTTTGTTAATTTTTATAATACAAAAGCTACCATTATTTTAAATTTTCAGAATTTTCTGTGATTTATATACATAATTCTAATTATCCTAATAATTACAGCTAAATTTTTAGAATATAATAAAAGTAGCAAGAGACACGAGATCATTATTTGTTAAAATTTCAAAGCATCAATTTCTATTATCAGTGAAAGAAAATTGTAAAATAAGTTATTTAATTAAGTAATTGGAATATATGATGATATAAAAATATACATTTATTTATATATTTAGCTTTATATACAAATAAGATTAAAATTTTTATTCAATTTTTTATCTTTATCTTGTATCAACAAGTGCTGTATCAATAAATAAGGGTCTTTTTCTTTACAATATATAAAAATTCATAAAAATGTAAAAACATAATTGTGATATATAAGGTGAGCAGACATTCGAGAAAATGCATGAGGAAGACTTAATCGTTTTTTATGCATTGCGTTTACTAAAATAAAATCTAAATTGCGATGTACACTTGTATTATATTTAAAATTCGTTTTATCATGTTACCCGACGAATCTATTTATATCTCATAATTTTATTTATTGACTGGTACAGGGAACTATATTTATTTTTCTTTTTCTATTTATATTTTTTGTATGTTATTTTTGTATGTTCGTTTACTGAAGGATTCGTTATACCGAGAGATCTTGAATTAAATCGATATGTTTGTCTTTTCCAATCATGATATTATAATAATTTATTTTTTATTGATAATTACATTCTCATTATTTGCACTCTATTTCACTTTCTTGATTCTGATAGCCTTTCTCATTTACTCCAGTATTTATCCAGTAAAACTTATTATATTTGATTAATTTTTATTTATCTTTTCTTTTTTATTAACCTCATAGTTTGTTTTGATGGATTTAATTGTAGTTAGTTTAAAAATATGTGATAGTTTTTAATATTAAGATATTGGCAATTGTATTATTATTACCGTAATATTTTTTTAAATCAATATGATTATCAGCAACAAATTAGCTATTTATTTGTAACAGTTAAGATACGTTAGGCATATTTACATTATGTATCAATATTTACACTCATACTATCGAGATCATACATTCTTTCGCAATCTTCCTTTTTTTCATTATAATCATAATATTATAATTATATTAATTTTAGAAACATTTTTATAATTTTAAATAAATTTTTGGAAACATAATTATAATAATAACTTTAAAAACAATAAAAAGTGCAAGGGGAAATATGCCAAAATAAATAAATATATGATGCATTAATTTTAATGAAAATAATGTAACACTAACACGTTTTCATTAATTATAATTATAATATTATAATTATAATATTAATTTTAGAAACATTTATGATTTTAGAAAAATTTTAGAAATATAATTATAATAATAACTTTAGAAACAATGAAAAATGCAAGAGGAAATATGCCAAAATAAATAAACATACCTTAATACTTATGATGCTTTAATTTTAATGAAAAATGAAAATAATGTAACATTAACACGTTTTCATTAATGAAACAGTGATCTTAAATAATAATTTTTAATGAATGGTATAATCTCTTTGTTCTAATTCCTTATGATACTTTCGAATTTCAAAAGTTAAAATTTTTTCGCGTACTACAAAATACCTACCAATTGGTAAGTTACATTGTTTAATTATCGATTGTTAATAATTTCCGACTATCGGTAATATAAAAATTGTAAAATTTAAATTTTCGCCACTCTTTTAATGATTATATTCGCCCGATCCTTCATCGATTTTGGAGAATTTAACTTTTTTGTTATGAAAAAAGCACAAATTTAAAATTTAGACATTACACATTAAAAGTCACGGTTCTAGGATCTCATACCTTTTTGCCGATTATATTCTTTTCTAATTATTGAGATTCTTCACTAATTATTGAGCTTATATTTTAATTAAAAACTTAAAAAAACTTTAGTTAAAGTTTTAACAAGAAATATTTAAATTTATTCTTAATTTAAAAAAAAACCTCTTATCGCACTGAAATGCCTCGAATATTAGATGAATGCAAAGATTTAAAAAGAAAAAGCTGATTTTAAATTCCCTACATATCAATTACGAGATCTAAACAGCGTCTGCTAGCGTTCGCCCTCTCGCGCATGCGCGGGATTTGTCCTCCGCCTCGTTGCAACAACGACCGGGAACTGCGCTCCGCACTGACATAACAACACACGAATAATTGTTATTATTGATAGACCGATAATATGTGAGCTGAAATCTTTCCGTGCGTAATTTCGAGAGCGCGTTTGATCGCTCTTACGTACTTTCGCGACCGGAGTCTGCGAGACGAGAAATCGTGGAATTTCATGCGAGCTTCATTCAGCGAGGGCGAGATTCCTTCCGTCAAACTTGCCGTCAAACACGCGACGGTATAGGTTATGTGAGATCGCGCGAGTCGAGTGGAGCGAGCGAGCGACCTCGTCGCATATCCCTGCCCTTGCTTGTGGCGAGCTTCCCCGCGTGCGATGGGCCAGGGTACGGAGACGTGCGCCGACCGACCCACGGAGGTTAGCGTCATCAGATTCGTCTCGCGGAATCGCACCATCGAGGAGATCGCGCCGAAAAAGGTGAAGTTCACGGGGAAGGAGCCATTGGTCGCGTGGGGTCGATGACCCCTAAGCCAAAACAAATAGTATAATCAACTGAAGCGGATATAAAAACCAAAATTTTGCTTTATTTCACTCTCTCTTTGGCGGAAAATTTAGATATCCTCCACTCGTTAGAAACACTCGCAATAATATGCAAAGCAATAATTAACCTTATTCGTTCGTCCATTGTGTGTGTTTAATTAAAAAATATACATTTTTTTATTTAATTATTTAAGTTAAAGTTAATTAAAATTGGCTTACATCATGTCTATAATAGGTGTCTACTATCTAGAAAACGATGTAAAACTTGGGATGTATTTATGTTATAAACAATCAGTAATTTGTTATAAACAATCAGTAATTTGTTGATAAGTCAAATTGTGAATTATGTGTTTACAAAATATGCAGTATATATTTTTTATTGTAATTTTTTTAGTGATAACGAAATCACTGTTATGCAATTAGGAGAAACATTTATCTTACAAAAATTATATCTAGCACTTGAAACTTAAGTGTTAACTCTATATTTTTTCTTTTTAAATGCAAAATAAAAAATGTATACAACAAGATAACTTATTTTAAAAAATTGTATTAAAAAAATTTTCAAAATAATCTCTTTACTTGAAATTTTGAACAATACTTAATATATGAGAATTTTCAAAGAATTTTTTTTATGAGATTTGAGTAAACACTGTATGATCAATCATATATCAAATTTTTAGAGTCCCAATGTGTTCAAATTTTAATGCTGAAAGCATAAAAATAATTTTTACATTAATAACAATGTAAATCATATAATAGATACATGGAGAATATATTTGTACTGTATATTTGTACTGTATATTTATACTGTATATTTATACTGTATAAATCATCACTCATCAAGATTACAATTTTTTAAATTCTTATATATATTTTATGAGAAGTCTTTTTACTGATATTGAAATCATTTTCCAATATATAGGAAGTATATACTTGCAAGCAACGAGGTTGCGGTAAAATATTCACCAATCAGGATGAATATAAGACACATGAAGTGCTGGAGGCTTTGAAGATTCGATTTATGTGAGTTTGAAAATAAAATTTATTACTTTATTAAATAGACAAAAAAGTAATATTACAGATACAGGTTTGTTAGTATCAAAAATCTATTATAAAACATTTAATCTATAATATTTAATTTAGAATCTCTTCTTTAGGGACTACAATTTTTCTAATATTTATTTGTTAATTTGTTATAGATGTCGCGAGCCAGGTTGCGGAGAGGAATTATCAGACCCAGGTAGCATGTGGCGACATTATCAAGAATGGCACAATAATGAAACAAATGTTTTCGCATGTCCATATACCAATTGTGGCTCTTTGCACACTACTAGTAGTAATCTCGAGGAACATATTGAGAGTTGTCATAGACAACCACCTACACTGCCAATGGAACCTGAGATAATATGTTTCGAAGGCCCCGAGAATGCAATAGACGAGGAAGGTATGCAAAAGACTGACGAAGGATGTTATGAAAAACTGCCAAGCGAAAACTTTACCCTAAAAGAAGAATATGGAAGTAACGAGGAAAACTGTCACATTAGAAATGAAACTAAAATTCAGACTAAAAATGATTTTTGTCACGAGCAAAATAAGATTGCAGCTCTTGCAAATAGCGAAGAATATTCGAATAATGAGCCTTTGAATGGTATCAATAAGTTCCCTAAAGGTGAGGACCTAGTTATAATTAAGGATAATTTCTTACGAAAATACGATAACGTCACACCAAAGTGCGAGGAAATTCTCCAAGTAGAATGCACGCAAGACAAGAATAACGTCGTTTATATAAACGGTGACATAACTATTACGAAAAATATGAAAACGGAAGTATGCAATTTAAATTTACGAAATCAAGAGCATAGAATAGATTTGGGAAACTTGGAGCGAGTTTTTCGGAATAGTCTCGAACGTGAAAATTCGAAGATCGAGGATAGCTCGATAGAAACAAACAGCAATTGTTCGGACGACGAAGAATACACTCCGAAGAAACAACGCATGTCTAGGTACAAACAAGAAACATATAAATGCGACGTCAACGGTTGCGGGAAGAAGTACAAATACATATCGCACTATCGTCATCATCAAGACAGTCATAAATTAGTTACAAATACAATTAATTCCAATACTGGTAAGCAAGTGTCGAAGGTGAAGCAAGGAAAGGCATCCACTGTCAGCTTCTTCATGTAAGTACTCAAGTATACGTATATGCGCGTTTTGTTTTAATAATATTTAAATAATTCTAATAATATGTATATAATTTTTAGATGCAAAATGCCTGGATGCGGTGCTCAAGTAAATAATGTAACTGGCTTATGGAAGCATTATCAGGACAATCATGCCAATTCCAAACCGCCAGTCGTACAAACTGCCAAGAATAATGAAGTATTTCGGTAAAGTATAAATATATTAGTAATATCACGCTTTCTTATCGTGAGCAATGTATTTGTTATTGTGTATCTGGTATAAATAATTATACTAAGCCGACATTTCAGATGCAAGGTACCAGGATGCGAACTAGAATTTAGTACAACATTAATGTTGTACAAGCATTTTGATGAAATTCACTCCAATAGTTCCATTAATAACACAAACGGAAAGACTGGCAATGGAGGTAGCTTTCATTTTACTGACATATTCCAGGAGGACGCTACTGCCCAACAAGCAAATTTTAAGACTGATTTCAAAGCCAAGCATAATATTAACTTGAATGATTATACCGAAAGTAGTGACGAACATACTACTCATATTGCTAATAGTTAAAAGGGAATTTTCCACAAATTGACTCAAATATCTCATGAGGAAGATCTCATTTCTTTGGATTACGAATAATTAAAAGGCACAATAATTCAGGGTATTTTACAGAGATCATTTAGTCAAGATTTTAATCCAGTAAATTGCTTTAAGCTTGTGTATTTGATCTGTAATTGGTAACTGCTGTTAATTATAATTGGTAGACTTTCCTAGTAGCTATAAGTGTGATATGGTGGGACTTTGTAGAATACTCTGACATTGATCGGTAAACATTATTAATATGTAAGAAAATTTATTGAGCTGCCGGTATATGCTGCAGCGGGACAACAGTTTGGAATTAAATCTAATAGTATACACACAATATATACACTAAGAATTTCTCGTCGCTATAAATAAGAGGCTAAATCCGCTGCAGCAATATGCACCTGTAATAATAAGACTTTTGACTCTCTTTCTGTAATGATTTTTACTATTTTATATTATGTCGTTTTTATGTAACTTATATTCCCTTTATATAAAATTTTATATATATATATATAATAATTTATATATATAAAATTATATATATGTAATTATTATATAATAGATATTTCCTAATGACGTAAGTATTGTATAGCATTTTTATTTGTATGTCTGTACGTTTAAAAATAAAGTGCAATATTAGACAAATATAAAAGAAAATATCTATACGTAAGTCGATATATCATCTAATATCTTAGATAATATATTAACTTATGTATGGTATACATTGAGAATTGTGTTTGGTAGCGTTTTTTTAATATTTGTGTGAACACACACACATACACAAGGCCAGAATTAGGACATATTTTTAAACTACGATCGGGGATATTTTGAAGCGTTTGATTGAATCAATCAGGATGAAAGGAATAAAGATTTCTTTAACTTGTTTGGTCAATTAAAACGCTTCAAGCATCTTCCTGCAGCCTTAGGCCTATATTCTGAGTCCTCTTTTATCGATAAAAGTGCCTCTAAAAATGACTTATAAGCCTTCTGATTGGCTACGAGCCACTTTTAGAGGCATTTTTACCAGTAAAAGAGGATTCAGAATATGGACCTTAGATTTTTCTTCACACATTTTTTATCATCTGAATAAAAGATATTTCTCATAAGAAATTTAGCAACGAAAGCGATAGCAATTTTCGAGAATGTTTTGGTAATTTATGAATTTAAACAACGACATGATAGAACGATTGGAAATGATTACGATTTATTATATTTTTTTCAAATTTGGATAAAAAATATGGAGGAAGTAGTCAATGTTTTTGACTATGATACTATAATAATACGAACCAATCAGCGAATCCCCAACAAAGACAGCAATCCATCCAGCACGTATGTATCCTTTTCTACGGGTGAATCATTTTCCCCCCACCCTTGCTCAACAGATTCCTCCTACTCCACTCCTGCTCTTCCGTCATCGCAAAAAAATTTCCCATCTATGTATTTCGTATGCCTGTGGTTCTGCCATTTTGTACGACCGGTGTGACTTTAGTGTTTCATTCTATTTCACCCCTCCTTGCGCAAAAATCGCGCGGTAAAGTTCCCGATCAGTTTTTTCCCTCCTGCTAATGGGATGGGATTATTGTTCGGTGGAGAACCTGGGTTTTTGTATTTTATCGAAGCTCTAATGACGTAGTGAAATTGCCGGTTGAAGAGAGTTTCGAAAGATATATAGAATATATCGCAATTTGTGAACTTGGTCTTTTTAACGACGCAGCTCTTTAGCAGATTGTTTACACAATCATCGTTCTTTTCGGTACAAAAGCATAAAAGTCGCGTGGCACAACGATGTTCCATGTTATCGTCCCTCGTTGATCGTACGATTTTTTTACACGAGACAATCGTCCAAGATGTACGCACTTGCGTCTATAAACAGTCGATTGTAAAACAACGTGAAATGGCTGTGGTACAAAAGCCTTACTGATCACAAGTTTTGGTTCAGTTCGGTTGGAAAGCTTATTTTCCCCTGTCCCCTCTTTTCTTTATATAAAATTAATCGCAGATAGTCGTAATCATCATTTTACACTCAAATGCGATCATGTCATCCGAGGTAAGATAAATTAGTATATATTATTAATCTAATATAGGTTACTCATTATTAAGTAAAAATATTAAATGAGCAACACTTGGATTTTATTTCTTGTGCTTAATAAATGGAGTATCAAGTCACAATGAAATAATGCAGACTATAAGATGTATTGGCACTCAGTACTCGTTTAGTCCTGTATAAAACAAAATTTAAAATAAGATGCTATGTAAAAAGTATGTGTACAACTACAAGATCACAAGATTAAATATAAGCTAAATATAATTCATATTTGTATGTTAGCTTCTTGTAATCTTATGTACCATGTTTCTTGTATCTAGTATTTTAATTAAAAATTTCTTTGGCTGAAGAATTATTAATGAGTGCCAAAACATCCCATATTTTATGTTTATCAATACTCAAAGTATTATTTATTTAACCCTTTTAACAATTTTATTTGATATTAATTTAATAAAATGACTAATTAATATCAATTAATTTTATAAAACATGTAATTAATTAATGCAATTAATAAACATGCAATTAATTTTATAAAACATGTAATAACATGTAATACAAATATTTTTATTATTTTGATTTTCAGAGAGAGATCAAGGCAACTGAACAGGAACTCGCTTATCGTGAGAAGTATTTTCATGGTTAGGTCACAAGTTAATATTATAATATAATTGATATAAATTTTATATAAACTTACAGAAAATAGTTAAATAACAAATAAAACAATTATACAACTTTCACAAAAGATATATGTATTTATATATTTATTAATTATTAAAGCATAAATAACGATATTTTATACATATACAAATCAGACATCAATAATATTTTTCTTGTATTTTCATTTTTAAAACTATAATAATATAGATTATGTATTTTATGTCTAGATATCAGAGCCGTTAAAGATAAACAAATAGCATGTACTTCGTGTGGTAATGAATTAAGTCTCGAGTCAAAACAAATCTTCTCTCATCCATTGATGGGAATATTGCAGTGCGAAGTAAGATATTACATTTTATATGTAATGTTAAATGTATTTTTTTGCTTGAAACAATATAAAGCAAGAAAATTTAGCTAAATTGTTTTCTAATATTAATTTTGTAACAAATATACTTTGCTGCAGACATGTTGGAATCATTTTAAAGAAATAGATGCGGCCTTTGAAGATGAAGATGAAGATGAATTTCAAAAATATTGTTACATATGTGGCGATGATAAGAAACTATATGAATGTGGCAATAAAGATTGTGTTTCTGCATTTTGTAAGGTAAGGAATTTAGCAAAACTTTCAACACATTAATCACTATTCATACATATATGCACAAATAAAGTTTCTGTTAAACATTTTCTATTTTTAGAAATGTATAAAAAGAAATGCTACTATGTCACTATTGCATGCAGAAAAGAAGGATTGGAAATGTTTCACATGTAATCCTAAACCAATCTGGGACCTGAGAGCTGTGTGCGCCGCTGTAATGGACACTTATAAGTAAGTAGAATCAAAATATAATTATTGCTTATGAAACTTCTAATAGTGATAAAAATGCATTTTTACATATTTATAAATTTTTTTAAATTTTCAAATTGTACACTTAAATCTTTCGAAAAACAATAAATTTCGTTTTCTCCTTTCATGAAAAAAATGAACATTGCTATATCTCTTCTCTAAATTTTAAACTTTTCGTGGAAAGCAAATGGAAATACATTTATAGTCACATCTTAAGATATTAAAAAGGAGAAGAAACATAATCTTAAACACAAACAAGTTAAATGTGCCATTTGAAAATTAAATTATTGCAACTGACACACATATGTTTATATATATAATATCTTTTCAATCTTGATATTAAGTTAGTTTTTATTTAGTTGTTTTATCGGATGATAACTCGATAGGATTATCCGTATCACTAGAAATTTTATTTTTCCATTTTAATTCATTTAGTATTTGTATTTCTGATTGATCAATCAAACGCTACTCTATTTCAAGGAAAAAATTTTGAAAAACTAGTTATGAATAAAAAGTTATATAAATATATTTTTATGAATAATTTTTTAACAACTTTCTTATAATATTTTGTTTCATGAATTTAAAGACATCTTCTGTGTGTCCCAAATATATGTATATTACTAGTTGATCACCACATTGTTATTGTTTATGTATGTTATTAGGAAACTAAAATAGCTTAAGAATAATTTATATAGATTAAATTGCATGTTTTAGTAATATTTAATGTAGCATGCACTGTTTTGTAATTAAATATATTGTATTAATTGTAATTAATACTGTTAGTCCGTTCTGTTATAACATAATTTACTAGAAGGAGATTGTTAAGAAAATTACATTAGAGCAAGATAAAAAGAAAAGAAGAGCAAAGTAAAATCTATCGCGTTTCTAGCTACAGATACTAAAGTTTGAGAATAAACAACTTAAAGAAGATGGGGGACATGCATGTGTACATGATACTCTACCATGTCCAAAAAAAGAGGAGATATGTACATATGGAATGGATCTTCTGTTTCAGAAAGGGTAACAGGAGAAGCACCAACAAGATTGAAAGACGTGTGTTACCATCTCAAATACAAAAAATAAAAAAAGCCAGAGAAGTACAGAAGAGTTTGCGAATGTTATGTGATAGTGAGGAGGATGATAGTTCTTCTGATAACACATTTGTAACTTTGAGAGCCAAACAGAAAATAGACCGCCAGCGTCTTATGAAACAAAATGCAAACCTTAATCGGCAAAAGGAAATAGTGGAAGTGAATCTAACAGATTCATCTGGAAATGAAAGTCTGTTTAGTGCAAATGATTCAATATTCTATAATCAGGATAAACAAAGAAAAAGTAGAAAAGATCAGAAAACTAAGTCTATACAAAAGAGAAAAATATCGAAAAATAAAATTTCTAGCGATTCGGATGATAATTCCATCGATTTGTCGACTAATAAAACAATTAAACAAAAGCGTACAAGTAAATCTAATATCAGTACTAAAAGGATAATAAGCAATCGTAATTCTATATATTCTGATAGTGAAAGTGATAAGAATGTTTCTACAAATAAAGCATCAAATATAGCTAAAAATCTTTCAAATACTGGACCACAAAATAAAAAGGAGGATACTGCTTCTTATGATGCAAAGGCAACTAAGCACAAAGCAAAGAAGTATCAAGATTCAACTAGTGAATCTGAAGATGAAGATATCACGGATAAGAAACAAAACAGCAAGAAGCAGTCCACAAATCGCACTACATCATATAACAGTAGTGAAGAAAAGAAGCGCAAGAATAAACATAACAAATCATCGAAGAAACATCTTTCCACTATTCAGGAAGGTGAATCAGATGCTAGTTCCAGCAAAGAATTTCAGAAGAAAAAACTTCAAAAGGTGAATCACAATAAATTCACGAGGAGAAAATTGGCAGATTTAGAAACAGATTATACTAAATTGGTCGCTGAAGAAGATCCTGCAATCGAAAGCAAAGAAAATAATAACGACCAAATAGATATGAATCTTGATAATGCGAAAGAATGTGTAAGTAATTGTAAAGCAATAGTTTCAAATTTACAAAAATATATCAATTCTATGGAACAATTATATGGTGAACAGGATGAAGAGCAGTTTATGCTGAAAATGATAAAGAAAATTAATAAATTGTGGCCGAATTTGCAGAAAGTACAGAAAAATTTAACAACTTTCTATGTGTCTAAAAGTTCTAAGAAAAATTTAGTTAAGAGATTACCCAAAGAAGTTAATGATAATGAACAATCTTTGAAAGAAACCAATGTACATGAAAATCATACAACGAGCGAAAACAAGGCTCGTAACTCCGGAAATGAGCAAGGAGGAAGTTCTAAAAATGTCTCCGAATGTGATAGCGAAGAAATATTTTCAGGAGACGAATCGAGAAGATTGCAGAAGGAGCAGACAATTCAGAACAATGATACATCAAATATGGAAAATAATGTAAATGCTAATAAAACTAATGAAAAAAGCAATGAAGATAAAGAGTTAATAGATTCATCGGAGAATGAAGATAATGCGAATAAAGATGATGTGGATTTGCAAAATAATTTGTCCAATTCTCCAGTGTTAAACACATCAACAGAGAAAAAAATAAAAAACGCAGAACGATCGATTAAAACCCAATTATTTTCAGAATGCATTAACAATAATGATACACCATTAACGATAAAGATAAAGATTAAAGATAAAGATAAAGATATTGATTCTAATAATAAACAAACCAAATCAGATACTGATGTTCCTTCTAGCGAAATTGAGATTGAAGATTCTCCTTTGAGAAACGAAAGACTTAATCGAAAGACGATATTACAAAATAGCATACAAAATGATTCTGCAAACACAGATAATATAATCAATGAATCAATGGATCTGTTTGACACATCTTATCTTAAGACAGGAGAGAATGAAACTGAAGTACCAGAACCGGCTATAGAAATAGCTACAGAGACGAATTGTGATAATCCAGAATCTTCATCCAAAATAAAATCCTTAGATACTTGTTTGCAAGATAAAATTTCAGACAAAAACGATAGGGCATCTCTTTCACTTCGCGATAATGAAGAGGAGAATTTGTTTGATCAGAATACTCCAAAGAAAGTAACATTTGCAACTAGGGAAGACATTTCTGATAATTTGGAAGAACTCGATATATCCGGTAAAACTAATATCGATATTGACTCTCTCGATGATGCTGAAGCATTGGCGAAGAAATCTCTCTTAGAATTAGATTCTGATTTGGATGACATATTAGACGCAAACGTAGTTACAAAATCAACTGAAGGTTTAAATATAGATGATCTTAATCGAATCGGACTCGATAACAAAGTGGAAGACGATGATTTTGACGTTAATAGTACCAGTACATTAATATTATCATCATTTCTGAAAAAGACAAATACTGATGATAAAGATAAGACGAAAGTCGAGAACAAAAATGACAATCAAGCAAATGGGAAACCTCTCGAAGAAACGAGTTCTTTGAATGATGATGCCAAGGCAGAAGAAGCTGCCAAAAAAGCTCTCTTAGAATCAAATTCCGATGAGTCTTTAAGTTTATCATCGTTGGATTCGGGAGAGAATGAAAACAAGAAGACCAAATCAAATTCTTCCAGAGAAAATGCCAGATCGAAACAGGCACTTCTAGCATCTTCCAACACTGAAAGTTCCAGTCCCGAGCCAACTGTAGAAGTAGAAGCAAGTGATCGCTCAAAGAATTTAAATGAGAGAGCGAAACAGGCACTTTTAGCATCTTCCAACACGGAAAGTTCCAGTCCCGAGCCAATTGAAGTAGAAGCAAATGATCGTTCAAAGAATTTAAATTCTAAACGTAATCGCGAGAGTGATGACGACTCGATTGTCTCTAGAGTGAAAAGGAAACGATTGAAACTTAATAGAAACAGTTGGAACGATAAGAAATTAAGAATGCTTTGCGAAGTTCGTTTAGAGCGATTAAGCAGGAAAGATCTTAGACGTTATTCGCATGCGTTACAAAAATCAAGAGAATATCTGGAACAAAAGGCATTCAAAAGGTATCAAGATCTTTCTCTAAAATCTCTGTTTATTGTCTTGCATCATTTAAAGTAATTTAATTGTTGTTTCACTAGAGAACTTTAAGTATGATATAACTACTTATTTAGAACATAGTTGTATCGAAGTAGTAGACTTTTTTATATGTGAATATGTGTATGTGAGAGATTATTATTATTATTATCATTATCATTATTACCATTAATTTTAATATTTGTTATTAATTGATTTTTCATATAAAAATATTTTTATAATAATAGAAATGTAAAGATGTGTATAAAAGATGGATAAAAATTATGTTATAATATAATCTACGAATATATTATAACATAAATTAGTTAGATTAATATATTAAATAATTAATACTCTCCATACACAAATATGTTATAATCTTATTAGGGTTATTTTTGTTATAAGATACGATTTATAAATATGATTTATAACACCAATGTAATATCTTATAATGCAGGACAGTGCAGTGAAGTTTTTGAAATTTAATATTGCATTTTCAATTTGAGAAGTTTGTATGTTTGATTACGAACAGATATGCATACAAGAGTGTATAAAATGTAGTTTTCTCTTTAGGAAAAAAACAAATAACAATAATACAATAATATTGTTATACAACGATATAACATATATTTTTATACACATGATGATTTCAATTCAATTTTTCTCCAAATCTATAAAAACATAGGAGAAATTTCTGTAGCAAACTGTGTGTTTTAATTATTAATCCTATGATTATATAATTATTTGTTATACACTTTTGTACAAATCTGAATATATTTAATAAATCCTTTTCTTAAATTAAAAATTTTTTTCTACTTTGAAAATTGTTTTTTCTACCGTTACGAGTTTATCTACATATAATTTAAATAACATGATTATTTGGATCCTTGCTTACAAAATTATTATTATTATTATTATTATTATTCATATTTCTTGAACGAAACAAGTTTATTTACACAATAAATTTTTTTTAGCAAAATTTATCATATTAGTTAATTATTATCCTTATTTCCATTGTCCTTTACAGTCTTATTAATCTGAGTAAACTTGAAAAGACACACAAGAAAAATGCAAAGAAAGATTCCGATTCGTCGACGGATGATGATACATCCTCAAAAGTTTCGAAAAGTTTAAATAAACAAAAAGGAAAACAAACAACTGAAGAAGAATCATTAATGGATCATTTAAAAAAAATAGAAAATGGCGATGTCTCGACACTTGTAGAAATGGATTCTAGTTCTGATGAATCGATTAAAATACAAAACGTAGATGTATCTGTATCTAACGAAGCTTTAATATCAGAGGCAAATAGAATTGCGAAAGAGAATCTATTAAATTCCTCTGATTCAAATGGTAAGTAATTCGTTCTTAGAAATATTGAATATTGGATATTTTTTAATAAATATTGGATATTTTTAATTTATATCAAGATCTTCAAAATGCAAATCTCCGCGATTTGTAAATTTATTGATTTCTTGAAATTAAGAAATAAACATTAGATCTATTTATCTACAAAATTATATTTCTTATTTAACTCTTATTAATGTCAATAATTGCTTTATTAATAATTGCTTTAGACTTCATAAATTTAATGTTGTATGAAAAAGCATATTTATTATACTTTTGCGACATTTACTAGTTTTTATTGATTTGAATTTTAAGAAAAAACAAAATTACTTTGTTTTGTATATAATAATTATTTATATAATCAGTTTATTCTGAATATTTTAGTTTAGTAATTAATTTATTCTGAATATTTTACATTGTATTATTTAAATCTAGAAAAAGAAGTAGTACTGGGCAGCGATGACGATGTAAATAATGATGATAAGAATGAAAACTCAGAAGAAAAGAAGAAGAAACACGATAAAAAGTCTGAAGAAAAAACTTTAAAGCAAGATGATGTAAGACCTCTTTTTAATAAAAGAATTAAAAAAAACATTTTATAAAAAACTAAACTAAAAAATCATTAAAATAGAAGTTTTGTTTCTCTTTGCTATATATTTATACCTAATTATATCATTTGTTATATTGCGAATTTATTATATACAATAAGATTACTTGAAAAAGTACTAATTTCGTTCAAAAATATTTTAGGACAAAAAGGAAAAAAATGACAAAAGTAATTGGAGGCGAAATAAATTGCTGACAATGAGATTCTCCGATACTGATTCTGACGCTGAAAAGGAAAAATGGGAAAAGAAACAAGAAAAATTGACGAAAAAATCGGAAGAGAATAAGTAAATTATTTATTATCTAATCTTAGACACTATAGGTGACTGAAAATAAAAAATTTTTTATTTTAATTTTTTGCAGCAGCGACTCCAATGACGAGGAAAAGAGAAAATCTAAGAAAAAGAAGACTAGACGAAGAATCATAGATTCTGATTCGGATGTCATAATAACGGATTGCAGTATAGATTCTGATAACTCTTCTAAGGCTTCGAGTACCAAACAAAGTTCAACCGACTGGTTTGACAAAAAAGAAAAAGAAAAACTAAGAGGGAAGAGACGCAAACGGGGCGAAAACGCTTCGTCGGACACGGATTCTTCGCTTGCAGAGAAGAAGTAGATTTATATACATGCTGTTTTCCTCTACATATTCGTAATTCTATCCTTAAATTAATAATATTATGTAATTTATAGACCGAAACCAAAACGTAAGCGAATTAAGAAGGTAGCATCTGACAGTGATAGCAGCATCGCGGAAATAAAGAATTCGCAAGATTCCACACCTGGCAAAAGTGGTCGAAAAAATATACGAAAAGTTCTGAAAGATAAACAAGTAGCAGATGATACAAAACTAGCTGCCAAAGAAGAGGAGGAAAGGCTTAAACGTATTGCTGAACGTCAAGCTCTGGTAGATTTTGAAATGTTACTACAACTTTTATTATATGTATATGTATATTCTCTACACACATAATGTTATCTTTTGTTGTAGTACAATGAAATGTACGAGATGAGACTTGCTGGAGAGGAGAAGGTTGAAAAGCTCGTTTTAGATTTCGATACAGAGACAAAAAAGGAGCTCGTTAGCGTGCATGAAGAATTAGTAAAGCGTCTAAAGCCACATCAAGCGCAGGGTATTAAATTTATGTGGGATGCTTGTTTCGAATCCTTAGAAAGAGTAAAGACTACATCCGGATCCGGATGTATAATCGCACATTGCATGGGACTGGGCAAAACATTGCAAGTAATCGCTCTGACGCACACACTTTTGTCTCACGAGGAGACAGGTGTCAAGACAGTACTGATAGTTTGTCCGCTAAGTACAGTGCTTAATTGGTTAAATGAATATAGAACATGGTTGAATGATATGGATGATATCGAGGTGTACGAATTGACAAAGTATGAATTTAAATTATATTTGTGTTAATTAAAATTATTTTTCTATTTAAAATTTTTTCTTGCCACAGAAAGCGATCTGTGAGAATTTTTTATAACAAATCCTTTGTTGGAATAAAAAAATCAAACAACACTTTCAGGTTTAAGAAAAATTTTGAGAGAAAGTATCAGCTACAAAGATGGCAAAAGACTGGCGGTGTGATGATTATCGGTTATGAAATGTTCCGTAATCTTACGGGCGCAAATAAAAATATCCGGAAGAATATGAAGCAAGTGATAGATGAATGCCTAGTTGATCCAGGCGCGGATCTCATTGTCTGCGATGAAGGTCATTTATTAAAGAACGAAGATACTGCATTAAGTAAATGCATGCGAAGAGTGAAAACTCTGAGACGCATAGTACTTACCGGGACGCCGTTGCAAAATAATTTAATAGAATGTGAGTGCTTTATAAAGAATTCTTGCAACCATATATTTTTTTAATAAATGCGAATATGTCATACTTATTTCAAATTTATAATTTTGCAGATCATTGCATGGTACAATTTGTTAAACCCAATCTGTTGGGTACAAAAAAAGAATTTTTAAATAGATTCGTAAATCCAATAACGAATGGTCAGTTTGACGATTCTACTGCTTATGATGTTAAATTAATGAAAAAACGCGCGCATGTATTACACAAAATGTTAGAGGGTAGTGTACAGAGATTTGATTATTCCGTGCTTACACCGTTCCTACCACCCAAACAGGAATATGTTATTTTTGTCAGATTAACAGACACGCAAATTAAAATGTATCAATATTACTTGGAGAATCTTGCGAGGTATAGATCACTATTTCATATTTTTATTTTCTTCTACTTCTTTACATCACTTAAAATAATTGTAATTACTTTCATATTATTAATATATATATTATTAATATATTATCTCATATGCTTCTTCTCGTAGACGTTCCACTACAGGTGCAGGAGGAACTCTTTTTGCAGATTTTCAGGCGTTACAAAGGATCTGGACGCATCCCATAGTTTTACGTTTGAATGCAGAGAAAATAGAAAAAGCAAATGAAAAGAAAGACCTGAGTGACTCGGAGGGATCATTGGTAAATTTTATTAACGATGATAGTGACTCAGGAGAGAGCAATAGCAGCAATTCGAGCAGTGACAGTGATGTTGAAGCTATTGATGATCCAAAAGAAAATATTTCCAAGCGTAGAACAAGAAATAATCCTGGTGGTAAGTTTTTATAATAATTTTATAATATTTGAACAATGTTTCATGTAATTTATAACGTTTAATTTAATAAAATTAATAAAAAAATTACATTACTAAAATAAATAAAAATACATACAATATATATAATAATATGATAATTAAAAAATAAAAATGTTAAATAAATCGAATTTTAGAAGAGGAACCAGAAGAAGAAGCTAAAGAAGAGACTCGAGAGGCAGAATGGTGGTCGCAATTTGTGCAACCTGAGCATTTTGAAGACATGAGAGTATCTGCTAAACTATTACTTTTTTTTGGAATTCTAAAGGAAAGCGAACAGATTGGTGATAAAGTGTACATATTTTATTAAACAAAATTATACAAATAACGATTATGCGACATTATTATATGTTGCATTGTTTTTTGACAGGCTTTTGTTCTCGCAATCTCTATATTCTCTCACTTTAATCGAGGAATTTCTCCGAAAGATAGATGATGAGACTCAAAACAATGCATGCGTGGATACATTGGATAATCATACCGGAAGTTGGTCCTTAGGTCTTGATTACTTTCGGCTTGATGGCCAGACGTCGGCTGAAAATAGAAATATATGGTGTAAAATATTTAATAAACCTACTAATACGAGGGCAAGATTATTTCTCATATCCACGCGTGCCGGAGGATTGGGAATAAACTTAACCGCGGCTAACAGAGTAATTATATTCGACGCCAGTTGGAACCCCTCTCACGATGTGCAAAGCATATTCCGGATATACAGGTATATACTTCTTTCGACATTTTCTCTGTTATTTGATTTTACTATTATATTATCCATCAAATATATATATCTAGAAAATAATGAGAAAAGGATAATAAGAGAATATAGGAAAATAAAAAAGAAATATAAGAAATTTATAAGAGAAAAAAATAGGAAGGAGATGGAAAAAAATAATACATGGCTAGGAAGCAAAAGATGAAAAAGGAGGGAAATAATTTAGAGAGAGGAAAAATTAGAACAAGTTATGGAAAGAGATAGAGAATGGAATGTTTATTTTAAGGAATTTTTTTGAAAGGGATGGAGAATAGAATAGTTAGGAAAATGTATAAGAAGATGAACAATGTGGACGGCAGCAAAGCAATGAAAAAAAATCATAAGAAGGGAGAGTATTACGAGAGCAATTGTAAAGATGAGAAACAACAAAAAAATGGAAGATTAGCCGTGATATTTCAGCGGACGTATAGAAGTATGAGAGAAAAAATAGTTGAGAGAATAGTAGGGATAGTAGTTCTAAAAAAGATTAGGAAAGGTAAGTACAGAATAATAGAAGGATTACATCATCAAAGTATATGTGACAGTGTTAACAGATAAGTTAAGAGAGGAGAAAGCGATTCCATCAAGGAGGAAGCTGATTCCATCAAATCAAAAACTGAAGGTTCAAAAACTCGGGATTCGAAAACTGAATACTATTAAAAATATTTATGTATTGAATTAGTTATTGTTATTAATAAACAACAGACAAGTAAGGAAGAAAGGGGGAATTAATAGCATTATTTTTTGTGGATTTGAAAGTGTTGATTTGGTGGATAAGTTCAAATTAATACAAGCGATAAGAAAGAGAAATGGAGGCAGAAGGATCAGGTAAAACAAAGAGAGATGGAGTAAAATTAGGGTGAAGGGAAAAGGAAAGAGAATAAAAATAGATTTGAATTGCTGGATTATCTGATTAGAGAGAAATTACAGAAAGAAAAAATGAGGATAATAGGAAAAAAGATATAGAGATTTGAAAAAAAAATTAGAAGAAAAGAAGGAAGTGTATTCTGGCGAGGAATTAATGAGAGAAAATTAGAATGAGGGTATTTATATAAGTCATTATCCATCAAATCATTCGTTTCTAATGATTTTCAGGTTCGGGCAAAAGAAGCCGTGTTATATATATAGGTTTTTGGCGGCGGGAACAATGGAAGAAAAGATTTACAATCGTCAAGTGACGAAATTGTCGCTTTCGTGTCGAGTTGTGGACGAACAACAGATCGAACGGCATTATAGCAATCATAATCTAAATGAGTTGTATACTTTCGAAGCGTATAATAATGCAGAAAGACCTACATTAAATTTACCTAAGGATAGACTATTAGCGGAAATATTCTTGAAGTATAAGGATGTCGTGGAAAATTATCACGAACACGATTCTCTATTGGAGAACAAAGTGAATAATATTTTTTTTTTATCAGAAAGACAAAGCGTATTTGTATTTTCTGTCAATTAATAAATTTGCATTTTTAACAGGCCGAGGAGGAATTGGATGAAGAAGAACGCAAACAGGCTTGGTTGGAGTATGAAGAAGAAAAGAAAGGAAAACCGCCGATAAATCCGATGATGAATGTGGCTTATCAAAATAATTTATTACTGCAGCAATATAATATGATGATGAATGCTGGACAGACTAGTTTAGTGTCTCAAGATTCTTTACATTTCCAGTATGATAATCTCGAAAAGTTGATTCGTAAAGATGTAAGCATCTTTTAAGAATACAGTTAAAAATACTAAAGTATGCTAGCTTTCACGAGAGAATTGCTTAAGTAAATATTTATAATTGCGGATTTATGTGTGTGTAGTACCCCAATGCAACCCCAGAACAACAAAAAATAATGACAAATCGAGCTCTAATGGAAATGTACAATTATTGGGAAAAACAAGCTACATTATACTCTAAGCAACCTGTGAGAAATGTAGCACCTATATTGGTATTGATCTCTATTTTATCTTATTTCTATTAATATGTTGACTGTCACGTGAATTTTGTACGGCTTATCTAGCAGTTATAAGTAGAATTTTTTTTTTTAAAGTAGAAATAAAAATTATTGATAACTATTATTAATTGTTCAACAATGCACTTTTTACTCTATACTGTTATCTAATTATTTATATTATTTAAAATTTTATGTTCGATGACACTCATTTTATTATAATCAGTTTTAAATTTGATAGCATCTGTCATTGGTAGTCAAGATTTCACCTTATTGAGAAAACAAGCCGGTTATGAGTGACCATGATGGCAATCAACTTGTTGAAATATTATTATTATTAATAACATAATGATATATTTAGCAAACTAGTCTTGAGAATAGCTGTTGTAATTTTTCTCTCTTATACTTTTTTAAATAGTCCAAATATATTTTAAAACAATATGAATTATATGATTACGAATTATATAATGAATAATGAATTATATAATTATATTATTATGTACGACATTTTACAGAACTTTCAACAGAGGCCGATGGTTGTACCACCTACTGCGGGCAACAGTAATGCACATGTGAATATAATTTTATATATATAAATATATCGAGTCGTACACTTTTTCAATATACATTTATCATTTTTGTTTTGTATAGCAGCAGCAAATCTCACAATTAAATCAATTACTCACGTCGGGGCAATCAGGAAATTATGTAATCGCGAATAAACCCGCACAGCCAAATGTGGCGCAAAGGACAGATCTAGTACTAAATCCATTTACATATCGAACGACATCAAGTAATAATGCAGGCGGAAAACCAAACGATGATATAATTGAAGTATATATACGCTGCTCTATATATATGTATAATTTTATTTGTGCGCAATGACAATTGAGTGATGCGGTATTTGAATTTACAGATAATACCTACTACAAGTAACGCCGGTGTGTCAAACGTACAAGTCGCGATACAACCAACTGATATCAGTAAAAATCAAGAGGAGTAAAATTATCTCCTCTACGCGAATAATTCATAAGAATTATACAGTGGTATTATTGGTAAGTGATATAGAAGTCGATACACCGTAAAGCGCAACGCAACGCAAGTCGTATACGAAGGTATTATTTACATTTAATTTTCTATGTAATATAAAAAATAGGACCGTTTATATTGTATTAAGTTCAATTATATATTATTAGTGTTTATATTATTTTAATTTCGCGTATATACATAAAGTATAATTAATTACGTTTATATCAAAATTTTATTATGTATGGATCATAGTGATCAAAATAATGTAGACAAATGCATCTGAAAATGTATGTACCGCTTTTTGCAGAATGAGGCTTTACTATACATAAGCGTTTATTAAAACGCATGTGTATTTTTTAATCCATTATTAGTACATTTAATCGGTCTTCATTTTTTGTTTTATCATTAGGTATATATTATTATAAATGTGTATATATAGAGAATATCTATTTTCCAAACATTTTTATAGATATATACACATACATTTACAACAATAAAATATTCTGTATATTTATTTACCTTTTCTTACGGCAAATAGAATGAGAATACAATATTCATAATTATATTTGTTTCTTTAATTATGTTAGTAATCAATAATTTATTAAATGTCATACATATATACAAACATACAATAGACAAATATAAATCTCGTAAATATTTAAGATATAGATATAACACATAGAGAAGTATTAAACATTGCTTTGATATATCCTAAAATCTTCAGTATCTTGGAAGAGCGTTTCTCCACCCATTTTTTAACAACGATCTAAGATATTTCTTCGTGTTTAACATTTTCAGTGAAGCTGCTATATTAAAATCTTCCGCCCGATCAGTTTTGTGATCGTATAATTCCTCTGCGATAATGATGTCCCAATCTGGTTTGCATGTCTCGTGCGTAAATGGTAACCACGCTGTGTAACGATAATCGTTGGTCTTCAAAGTATAACCCATTATAGTTATCTCTTTCAAACGAGGCTTGTCGCTATTGGGATGAAGCGTAGGCTGTATTTCCGGTCTCGGATATTGACTGAAGGCCGCTCTTTTCCAAGATACGTTCTAAAATGTTTGCAAATGTACAAGAAGGATAAATCTTTGTTTTGTACAAAAAAAAAAAAGAAAAAATAATTACGTGGAATAAATGCCTTACCTGACATCTTAACGTATTTTCTACGAGTGGTAGAAGCGTAATACCCTCGCTGCAAGGATTGGACGTTACCTTCCGTGAAAAAGAAATATTTTTCGAGCGCATTCGATGACTTTCTTCGTCGTTTTGACATATTGGCACGGGGACACCCGCCAAATCCGCGATTGTCGGAAATATATCGACGAGTTCGACGATAGCGTTCGTAACTCGACAATAGTTTCTCCTCAACTTTCTAGAAATATGTAACGCATTGTTCTCCACAGATTTCTTATATCTTTGTCGAACGTATGTCTCCGAGGTAATTTTTTTATACTCGCTTGTATTATATTTTGTACTTCTCCAAATGTCGAGCTCTCTTTCGTCAAATATCATGTACTCTGAATCCGTCTTACCTCTCATTTCATCATAATTTGTAATCTGCGTTATATTATATCTCGTATGCATAGATCTAATTATATCGTAATTATCATCAGTATCAAACGTGACTGTCGGAATCGATATTATCAGAGGTACGTGTACAGCAACGTCAAAGTTACTATATTTAGACCAAATAGCGTGCTCTCCAAGTGCCCAACCTGTGCGTTTAATGTTAAATTAATATAATATAATTGCATGCATATTTCAACTTCATTGATTAAGGAAAAAAAGCGTACCATGATCGGATGTTAATATTACGATAGTATTCTCTCGAATCCTCGAGACATATAGCTGGTGTATAAGTTTGCCAATCATATTGTCGACATAAGATACGGCTGCATAGTACGATTGGATAATTAGTTTCCCATACTTCTCTGAAAACGAATAATTGGGAAATGATTAAGAAAAAATGTAGATGCGCGCATATATACGTTTATAAATATGAAATAAATATATCGATCGGATATACTTGGTATTTTTTCCCATGGAAATTTCAACTTTAATTTCGCCACGTCCCTCCTCCACCGTAGATCGGTCCAGGGATTATAAGCGACGTTATTTACATTATCTGGCCATATATACGGCTCGGGCATTTTGAACTTCCGTATAGGGTGATATTCTGTGTAATTATATTTTTTTCACATCTGGTTATTAGGATTAATTATTATGATTATATATATAACTTTCTTTATTATGATTAATAAAGAAAGTGATCTTTGAAACATTAATTTGTATTTTTATTATCGATATAAAATGTACTTAGATAACGTTCAGGATATTTCAACGGTATGTGAGGCTTTTGAAAGCCGACAGCTAGAAAGAAAGGATCGTTATCTTCTCTATGCTCGTGTATGAATTTTCTCGCTTCTCGCAACGTCTCGATATCAGGCAATGTTTTATTTGGCATGGTTGATACACGTACCGGGCATACCTGCATAAACATCCATAAAAGATTTGTGTATATAATTTGTAACATATAAATAGAACAAATATTATTTTTATCGCATATTACAATATTCGTCGCTGGTTCCGATCGTGGGCTTGTTTTACAAACGGGAGTATTTTTATACCGATCTGTATATGGATGAAAAGGCCTCTCGGTCCACGAATAAGGGCTGTCGTCGGATCCATTAGAACTTATACCTATAATAAATATATGTACTTGTAAACTTTATTTTGTTTTTCTTCATATTATTTTAAGCATTTTCATAATTTGCATTCAAATAGTATAATTTTAATATTAATATAAATTGAATGATTTACATTACAGTTATATTTATATTTATATTACAATTTTAAATTCAAGATATGTATGTAATTTTCAATGTTAGACAAATTTGTGGAATCAAAAATATGGAATATATATGAAAGAAAAAAAATATATAGAATTGCGCAGAGTATCTATTTAAATCTTGTAAAAAAAATTCGCTGATTTTGCGGTAATTGTTTAAAATCAAAATTTCAGATAAAAAAATATCTTAAAGATTTTTTAGTGCAAATTCTAAAATAAGTTTTTTCATCATATGCCGTTTCCAACGCTTTTCATTTATGAGGGAAATACATAGTTTAAGTCTCAAGTGCCAAATTTGCAAATATATTATAAAAAATTGAATAGTAGAAAAAGCATTTTTCACTTATATATTTTCATTTTTTTATATTATATAATAATTTTTTTTATTGAAAATTATAATAAAGAATATATACTACGCATATTCAATATTTTGTTAAAACATTAAATATACAAACAGAGGTAGATGTATATTTATGATTATTTTAAATACATAATTCACTTGATTTATCGGTTTGAATATATAATTCGCTTCGCTTATCAGCGGGTAATTTACTTGCAATGTAAAAGCAAAATTATCACAAAAAGAATATTTTTTAAATTCCCTGAGTCCTAACAAAATATAATTCCCCATTTTTTTAGAGAATAGATTCCCCGAGTCCTAACAAAATATAATTTTCCATTTTTTAGAGAATAGATATGATTGCATCTAATTTTTTTACCTGGATGAAATACTTTTCCTATGGACATTGTAGTGTATCCATTGTTTTTCAAATGCTCCGGTAACGTGGTGTAATTACCGACTTTATCGCGCCAATAACTGTAAAAGTCGTAAAGTCGAAGAGTATCCGGTCTTCTACTAGTCAGAAAAGAATTTCTGCTGGGCGCACACAAGGCTTGCTGCAACGAAAAATCCAATCCTTTACCGAATCAAATGATGAATTGATCAAAAATCGATTATTTTTGAGAGATACCTGTGCAAATGCCTCGGTAAAAACAATACTATCCTCAGCCAAGGCATCTATATTCGGTGTGTATGCATTGGTATCACCGTAACATCCCAATGAGGTCCTTAGATCGTCGATAATGATCAGTAAGAAATTGGGACGTGTCGCGGCAATATCTATCAGCGTTATTACGATCAGATTAAAGTAGATCAACATCTTGCGATTTATAATATAACTCAGGTAGAAAATGCATTAGCATCGTAATTCTGTTTTTGGGATTTTTCACATTTTGAAAAATCCGCTTTACTCGAAATTTCCAGAGTTGTCCAAACTAGCTTCAAAAAAACCGAAAGAAAAACAATATTATTTCATCATTAAACATCTATATCTGGATCAAAAAATTATAATGGAGCCAAGTAAAAAGGTAATGAAAAAGACAAAGAAAAAAAAAAAGAGGAAGAAAATGAAATAAATAAATGATAGCGTAAAAAAGTGGTACTGTATTCTGTATACATATAAAGTGTTCCTAAAAAGATTATCTATTTTGTGAAATAAGCAATTATAAATAAAATATTTTTTTAAACATAAATAAATAAATAAATAATTTTTTTAACAAAATATATATTTGGTGGATCTATGTAATTTAATTATTAGTTTCTACGACTGTAAATATCAATATTTATTTAGATCTCAAAGCGATTAACTGTTTCGTGGAACACAGTTCAAACATTGTTTTTTTTAACCGCTTCAATATACGGTTTCAAAGATCAGCTGTATCTCTAATTCTATAATATACTTTAGATTTAATGAAACCCTAGCAAAAAAATCTAATGGTGTTAAATCAGAACGTGTTGTCCATAGTTGAGACTCTCCACGACACAAAACAATTGAATTTTTATATGCGATGATATAAATTATAAATGAATGAATAGTAATGGACGTATTTATACGTATTTTTTTTAAATATCTCTAATTTAATCAAAGGAAACAATTACTTTAAGAATGCTCTGTATATAAAATATAAGCATAATTATATATTTTTAGAAGATATAAATTTTGTTGAATAATAAACTCTCTCTTCACATACGAAAATACGTAAAGTTTCGCGGTAAAGTAAATTCATGACAATCGATCAAATGATCAAATTCTACGATAATAACGTTTTCCAGCTAGTGACACAGAGAACACAGTGGAACACGCTTCATCCTTGTTGATTGCCGAATGTAAACAACAAAGACAAGATGATTACACTCTGCTCTATCGCTAGAAAATGCTTTTGTCATTGAGGACGAAAGATAAAAAATCGGTATAAACGTATGATAAACATGCATACATTCATGAAGAAAAAAAAAAAAAAAAGAAGAGGAATCGTCGCGAAAAAAAATCTGAATTATACCAGTCATATCCTCGTCGCCCTTCCCCCGCTTTCCCCAGTCCTCGCTGAACGATCGCCGACGAACGGCGCTCGTGTCTCGTCCCGATTGCGGCCGATGCCGTCTCTCCGCTCCTCTCCGCGCCCGACTTCCCCTGCCACCGAATCAGCTGATTATTGTTTTCGTTCTTCCGACGCACGAAGCAGTAGGTAGTCCAGTGGCGCGGCGCGACGTCGGTGCATGGTACATATATACATAACATATTACATATATATACATGTGCATATATATACGTATATTATACATACCTACATGTATACATACGTACACTAACGTAAGCAGTGGCGCAAATTTCGCCCGCTCCGAGAAACCTCCGTGGTTCTCTTCGTGGGAAAGGGCGGGCAGAGCGCGTCTCCGTCGACGGATAGATAGTGCGTGCGTGCGTGCGTACGTGCGTACGCGCGTGTGTGTCGTCCGTATTAATAGTCTGTGCGTGTCTCCGATAGCTGGCGAGACAAGTGGCTACTGGTAGCGCGAGGCTCGCTTCGTTTTTTCGCCCTCCGAGGAAGAGAAGAGAAGAGAAGAATCGGCCGAGGAGATCGACGATTCTCTCTCTCGCGCGCGCGGAGTGACATCATCAGCCGCTGTCGTCCGCTGGGTTGTCAGTCGCTCTCGGAATGACGCAGTAGACGGACGACGGCAGTGCGCGCGGAGTGCAGTGACGGATTCTTTCTCTCTCTCTCTGTCTTTCTCTCTCCCACCCCTCCTCCCCTCTCTCTTTCTCTCTCTGTCTCTCTCTCTTCACGCACGATGAGAAAACACGTCGAAGTCTCGCGGTGAAGTAAGTTCTCGACGATCGATTACCGAGCGATCCTAGGGGGTCCTAGCACGGCCCGAGCACGCGCCGATAATAACGACAGGCGAGATACTCCCTTTATCCCTCCAACGATAAATTTGTCTCCTCTTCCTTCCTTCCGATACGCGCGAAATCGAATCTCTCGCTTCTTTTAATCTCGCGATTGCGTAAACGCTTCGTCGGTGGGTCGGATCGAGGGGGATAATAACGCTAATGTCGTCCCTTTCTTTTCCTCCCCGACCTCTGATCTACCCGCTGGTTTATAAAGAGCGATATTCGTCACGTCCCCAGCGCTTCCTCTCTTCCTCCTCGTTCGTGACTTTCTCGTCGATTGTCCCTGAGCGCGCATTCCGCGCACAGCTGTGTGCTCGCGTTGTGCAACAACACGCATCCCTCCGTCCCTCTCTCCCCCTCCCCGCGACGACGGCTGGCAAAATAGACCGCCTCTCCCCTCCGCTCCTCGCCTCGCCCCCTCCTCCTCCTCCTCCTGTCATTCGCGCGCTACGTCCATTCCCACCGACCAGCCGATGCACTTTCCCACTTTTCGAGCGCGTTGAATAATGCACCTCGTGACGACGACGACGCTCCGTGGAGTTTCGTCGTCGCTGACGACGACGACGACGACTGTGCTGGTGATTGTACGACGATAACGAATGCCGAGTCGCGACGAGCGATAATAATGTCTCGAACTCGGATGGCTCCGATACTCCGATAGTGACGATGGTGGTGGCGGTGATGGTGGTGGTGGTGGTGGTGGTGGTGTAACATACCTTGAACGAGGGTTCTTTGTCCTCGTCTCCGCGCGAGGATTACGCGAAACGTCACGATTCGGCGCTCGTCTCTTTGTTTGTCCATCCGCGCCGAAAAAGGAAAATATTCTCCCTTCCTCCCGGTGCCTCTTTCTACCTTTCTCTTTTTTGTTTTCGTTCCCTGTTTTTCTTTTTCCCCTCCCTTACGTCCAGTATCCGATCGCTATCCGTCGTTTACACGCAGCGTTAGCAGAGGCACGCAAGTGTGTCTCTCCTTTGTCTCTCCGCTCTCGTTTTCGTGCCTCGTTTTTCGATATTGTTGTAAACGTCCTGCGATTGCTCGATGACAAGCTTCTTTCGAATTATGTTACTGGCAGTTATTTGTATTGTTGTTGTTGCGCGCCCCTTGGAATTAATGGATATATAAAACGCGAGATTTAATTAAACGTTATAATACAATCGTTTTTTTTTTATGAACAATTCTCTAGCATAATTTATTGCAAGTAAACTCTTAAAGTAAAATGAAATATAAAGTATTTATTAATTAAGTTCTCTTATGACATCCTAAAAAAATGTAATATATATATATATATATTTTTTATTTTTTGTATTTACAATTTCTTTAAATTAAAAAGATATATTATTTTTAATTTAGCAAATATATCTTTTTTTAAATTTATTTAAAATATATTAGAAACTAATATATTTTTTTATGTAATAATAACAAGATTGTATTTTACAGATAGGTAAAATTAATTTGGAATTAAAAAATGTCTGCGGAATCACCAAGGCGAGGTGCGTATAAAGGAGCTCAAGTTGTTTCACCTCAACCCATAATAGATCGATCAATTATTGATAGCGTTGCTGGAATTATCAATGATATAGTACCACAGGTATAATGTTCATTATATAACACTTAGATTGCACTAATTTTGTTTTGACTTTAAGTGCAATTTAATTATATGTCTGTCTTTATTTATTTAAAAATAAAGATACAAGTAGACATATATTTAAGTCTAGCTTAAATCCAAAATAATATTACTGCAGCCTGACCTTGAAGAGATATTGTCGAATCTATATCTTGCATATTATTTTTCTCTACTTTTTCATAGGGATACGCCGGAGCATCCAACTCTGATAATAAGGAAACCATATCATGGGCACGATTTGAATACGCGGATATAAATGACCCCGCTTTATATCCCGATTACAATGAAGGTTCCAGTACACCACCTCTTTTATTGGTGCTAGGATATACAATTGGTGTTCAGGTGAGCGATTTATATCAATTCAAAATTTAATTTGCAACTTATTAAACTTAATATGTTCAATGTTATTTTTTATTATAGTTTTATATATTTAGTACAATGTAATGTTTGCAATAATCATTGAATTGTATGTAAATATCAGGTGTGGCTGATAGCAGCGACGGGAGAGGCAACGGAAGTTCTATCATGGCGACAAGGCGTGATTCGTACTCTTCGAATTCTACCAAATCCAAAGACTGATGACGAACACGTCGATGAATTCGAAGCGAAACGGCCGATGGTAGCGGTCTGCTCCGAGCCGGATTCGACTCTTCCGGGACCAAAATTTTGCGATGTCAACTTCATCTCCTTGAAGACCGGTGAACCGGTGCACAGCGTAGGATTTAAGAATCCTGTTTGCGACGTGCTGGCAAACAAGCGGTCTGTGGTCGTAACGTTATTAGAAAAAATTGCGGTCTTCGATGCCAGAACATTGCAAAATAATATAACAATTACTACCTGCTACGCCAGCCCTGGCCCAAATCCAAATCCTGTCGCTTTAGGAACCCGGTGGCTCGCTTACAGGTACGGAAATTTTATTCTGCGCTTTAATTTTGCAATACATTCCCTGGAAAAAGATTGAAAATCTGAAATTTTTAGAGATTTCTCTTATACTTGAAAAAATTAGGAGACACAAAGAATTTTATTGAGATTCAGCAAATTTTTTTAAGAATTCTCTCTGATAATTTTGCTCTAGTATTATATAATTTTGCTATAGTATTGTAAACAATCAGCAAACTAAGCAAATTATGTGTTTAATAAATATTGTAAATACCTGTTTTTGTTTATATTCAAAATATTGAATATGCATATTACATATTCTTTATTGTAATTTCTAGTGATAAAAAAAAATAAAAATTGTATGCAAGTGAAAAATATTTATCTACGAAAATTATTCAGTTTTTTTTTCAGTACATTTACAAAGCGCTAAAAAGCAAAAGAGGTTGAAATTTAAGAGGTTTTGTTTTTTTCATATGTGTAAAAAACTCTTTAAAATATTCTGTTTATTTAGAATTTTGAGTAAGAATGCTTGAGAGATCAATGAATCTTTATACAAGATTTGAATAGACACTCTATTAAATAATCACCTTTGATGTTTGCAGCGAAAAAAGATTAATACCCGCAAGAAGAAGCAGTGGCGGTTGTGAAGGAGAGGGTGTGCAGAGTTACACAGCGACGGTTTTGTATGCAGCGAAGTCTCTGGGTAAAGGTCTTCGTGGATTAGGGGAAACCGTTGCTTCAAGTCTCACCGGAAATTCTGTATCACCAATGACTGTGAATAATGCGAGCAACGACGTGACGCAACCGGGCGTAATTACAATATTGGACCTTCAAATCGCGAGAGACGAGAAGGAGTTGGATGACACGAACGCGGAAGCTGTAATCGCTCATTTTACTGCTCATAGCGACGCGATCGTTGCCATGACCTTCGATTTGACCGGCGCGTTATTAATGACAGCCGACAAAAGGGGACACGACTTTCATATATTTAAGATTCAACCGCATCCCGGTGGGCCGACATTAGCAGCAGTGCATCATTTATATATTTTACATCGTGGTGATACCACTGCAAAAGTACAAGTATGTTTCTGCTATTTTGGCGTTAATAATTAGATATCTTGCTCAAGATTATTTACATTATTAATTATACATATTATTAATATGTATAATTCAATAGCAGCATATTATAATTTATGTAAACGAAAGTGAAAAAGGTCAATTACGTTTTATCAAAATTTCTTCATTTCAAATCATTCTATAATTTTCCTTAATTTTATTATATGTAGCAACTTTAGTTTCATTTTTTTCAAATAAAAACAAATTATTACTTTATTTTCATTTGAAAAATTTAAATATTGTAATAAAGCTTTTTAATATTATTTTTTTCTTTCTATATTTTATCAAGAGTGATGTTTCTACTATTTGAAAACAAAGCTCTTCAAGCAATGCTTCTTTAAATTTATTTACAAAAGAATTTACTATTTACACGTTTGTTGTGCCAGGATATGATATTTTCGAGCGACGCACGCTGGGCTGCAGTCTCAACTGTGAGAGGTACCACACATGTTTTTCCTGTCGCGCCATATGGAGGTCCTGTTGGTGTTAGGACACATTCTACGCCTCACGTCGTCAACAGGCTATCAAGATTCCATAAGAGTGCGGGCTTAACGGACGACGGTACTCGATCCCATTCCCCTGTGTCTCACGCGGAACTACCTTTGTCCGTATATCCATACTCGAATCCGAGACTTCCACCATATCCTCATCCAACGATACTGCATCCTCTGTCGCAAATTCGACAGCCGTCTTCTTTAAATCAAGTCAACAATTCTTCGCAGCCGAGGTATTAATTTTTCTTAGAAAATTAATATTACTGATTATTAATTTTACTGAGAGCAATAAGCTATAAAATAAAAATGTAATTAAAACAATATCGTATCTTTTACATTAGTAGACCACAACAAAGACAACGGTTACATTCTGACGATAGCGGAACTCTACCATTAAAAATTTGCGCATGTTTTGCACCACCGAGAGCTTGGATATATGCGCAGAGAGAGTCCAGCAGCAAGGTTGTCAAGAGAGCAGTCGATTCCTTGTTCATCATGGCATGTCATGGAAATATGATACAGTATGACTTAGAACCTAAGCCAGTTGCTGGTGCGTTACAGAAAATATACTTTATTGCATACATTTTTTGAAAAAAAAATCATGATTTGTTCCTTTTTCTTTCTCATTATCTAACGCTTTTTTCTTATTTCAGGAGTGCCAAAGGAAAAAGTCTGCGATGATACTATGATTGAATTGGATGTCGAAGCGAAGGGCCAGTGGCCGCTTTGCAGGGTGCCCAATTCTTCCGAATTTGTCCCACCATTACCTCTGTCCAACCCGTTACTCAGTGTCACGTTCGCACCAAAGAACAACCAGGAACTTGACACAGCTGAGGATCGTTGGTTGAGTCAAGTAGAAATCGTCACTCACGCTGGACCGCACAGACGACTGTGGATGGGACCACAGTTTGTTTTTAAAACTTATAATGCACCTAGCGGGTTGGTTTCAATTATCATCCATTAATCGCGATTTGTTTCAATTTAATGAAAATTAATTCTTACTAGTGTTGCTGTCAATTTGGTCGAAGCGGAAGCAGTCGAAATTGGAATCACCGGATCGCGTCCAGCGAGATCGAAGCCCGTTAACATGCCCCATGCAGCGTCCAGGCCATTGATGCCAGTCGTCATCGATGGATCAGGAAGTGAGTGTACCGTAATCGTCGATCACAACCGAATATTGGGAAAATCGCATAGCGTATTTCAGTTTTATGATAAGAGAACAGTCTTTTATTGAAACAAAGAAACAAAATGAAGCGATTATTTATAACACAATCTATTCCATTTTGTACACAGGCAGTTATGAGCAATCGCCGAGATTCATGGAGGCTTATGGTGATCCTCTAGACAGCGAAAACGTAGCTGTTGGTAGCTGCGAGAGTCAGCTGAGAGAGGATCTTGCCGAAGCTATGCTCGAGATATCCATCGCATCGCATCGTGCCCCAGGTAAGTGCGTTAATAATATAGATTTAAGTTTTAATGAAAAGCACAAAGTTTACGAATGAATGCAGGTCAATCTCGTTAGTCGCAGTACCATCGATGTATTTCTCGAAGCGACTAAATATATATATATACTGTGCAATTTGTATTTGTTTAATATATATACTTCATGTATTTGTATATGTAGTTTTAATTTGCTGCAACTTTTTTTCTTTTCTGGTAACAAAGGATCACTTCTTACTTTTAGCATAGTCATGATAGTTGTGAAACAAGATATTTTGTTATTTTTATCTTTATTGTTTTTTATCTATAGTTTGCCTGCATTCTACATTACCACACTATATGTATACTCATATATTTGTTCTTACATTTAATAATTATAAAATATATTTTCATTATATTCCATTAAACAAGTATATAATTTTCAACATTGTAAATATAATTTTTTAAAATTTTAGGATGTTTCACATAAAATGTAACGAGATATTTTCTCCGAAACTTGATATTATGCTTTTCACAAAATTTATAGAGTTTTGAAACAGAAAAATGTTGATAATATTGAATTTTAATTAAGGCTATCTTTCAAGACCATGTGAAGATTCACTTATAGTTTTTTTTTAAATGAACTATACTAATTTTCTTATTGTTATTTCCTATCTTTATAATTTTTTACATCAAATATTGCGAACAATCAAATTATATAAAGAAATTAGGGTGATTTCATTTAAAAGAACGTCAAAAAGTTGCTCTTCACATGATTTTGAAAAATTAATAAAGAATTTAGTTTTTAAAATTTTAAATATTCATCTTTTTCCTCTGAAACCTTATAAATTTTGTCAAAAGTATTTTGTTATAGACATCAAATTTCGAATAAAATATGTGTAATATTTATAACATTTTATATAAGACATCCTTTACATACATATGTATATAATGTGCAGTAGTTTTTATATATTTTATGTGCATTGTCGAATGCACTCGAGCTCGCAAAGTTTGCGGGATTATTTGCGTGAAATTTACGTGATATTCGAACGACATATAATTAAACGTAGTTTTAACTTATTAAGCTCTTTATAAAAAAATTTCGAGAAACAAATAAATAAGATTCTCGAGAGGGATAATTATACTGACGTTTTACTACAATATTACGTCGCACAACGCGTATTGCGAAATCTTAAACAATTCTAACTGGAGAAAATGAGCAAAAATCTTTCCTTTTTCTCTATAATATATTTCCTGTACATATGTTTAACAAAGGATGAAATCAACAACTAGCATTGTAAGTTTGCGTGGATACAGAACTGGCCAGAGGCAGGTATCTTCATTTTTGTCCCTGTAACTGTATTATATATGAGCACTAACAGCAATATATTTTGTCGTTATTGAAATCTGCTCTTTATTAAGAAGAAAAAGAAAGAAAAGAAAAAAGAAATGTTCAACAAAAAGAGTTGTGTACTGTCTTGTGTACTAACCATGTAGATCCATCACATTTTGCTCGAGCTTTTAGCTTTGTGTATATCTTAGAGAGAAAGAGAGAGAGAGAAAGAGAGAGAGAGAGAGAGAGAGAGAGAGAGAGAGACTGTTTTGTGATTACAATACGAACGGATGTGTTTCTCTTCTTAAGTTTGTCTTCATTTTATTTATTGCTACGCACGTGGAGTATGCAAATGCGGAATGCGATAGAGAGAAAAAAGATTAGACGATTAGTTCTATCCATTCTTATCGTAGGAATTACTCATTCGCATCACGTACACTTTTTTCGAATTCCGATGATTGCATCATGATTTTTTTCTAACGTGATGCAATAACATAATCCCATGCGAGCATGCGAGCGAGCTAATTATCTCTGTAAAAAAAAAGAGAAACTTAAGAAAGAGAGAGAGAGAGAGAGAAAGAGAGAGAGAGAAAGACAAACGCGTGAGCAACAACTCGTGATATTGATACCTGCCAACGGCTTTTTCTGTTACTAGGGAGGCGTACGGTAATTGAGAGGGTGGGTCAGCCGGTAACTAAAGTCGTCAACCCTCACACCGGCACCGTGATTACCGTGTCGGCCGACGAGGATGAGGATTCCGTTAGCTCCGTTCAGGAGTACGATTCCGCTCCGGAGGAGATCCACGCACCTAGAAGCGTGTGCGCCGAGGAGGGGCCGGCCTCGCTCGGCGCGGCGGACCGCCTCCCGGACGTGCCGGATTGCCGGGCGCTGAGTTGCGAGCACACCGAGGTCTGCGCGGAGATGCGCACAGCCAGCGAACCGACGACGATCGACAGCGTGCCCGACGAGAATATACGCGAGCTGCAAGAACGTCGCGCCCTGTGCGCGGAGATGGCGACGGCGACGACGTCGACGTCGATCGATTATGAAAGGGAGGAGGCATTTCGCGACGTGCCCACGAGTCTCAGTCTATGCGCTGAACCGGGCGAGATTCCGAGCAGTCCGATGACGCAGGCGAAGGAGAGCGCGTTGTGGTGCGGCAAGGGCGACAGATCTGTCGGCGACAAGCGTGCCGAGGATTATCACGTCCACGAGAGACATCTCGCCAAAGCTAAGTACGTCGTCAATTACGACGACGACAGCGTTACGTTGATGGAGAACAAGACGATGCGAGGCGAAAGGAATACCGAGATACAGTCAAGTGCGAATGAGAGAACTAAGAGAGCTCTCGCGAGAAAGTCGATCGTCGTCGAGGACGAAAAGACATCGAGCTCGGAAGCTACCGCGCAGAAGCGTCCAGTCGAAGCGTCGCGAACGATGCGCGCGAAGAAGTATATCGTTCAAGAGAACGAGGACAGCGTCGTTGTCGAGGATGCGCGAAGCACGAATCCGACGATGAGCGCAAAGAAGGAGGAAAGCGAGGTTCATAAAAAAAAAACCGAGAGCGCGAAAGATGTTTATAAGATGTTTGCGAGAGAGAAACTGCACGGGGAGGTAACGCAGGGGCATAAAAACGGCAGATTGAAGAGTCGTGCTCCGCGAGACTCTTTCGACGAGGATCGACTAACGTTAGAGAATAAAAATATCAAGTGCGCGAAAGCGGAATCTTCCGTCAACGTAGAGCCCGAGCCAACGAAATCGACTGTCAATATAATTACGAAGGGAGAGAATCTCACTAAATTCGCCTCGAAAGCGGGAAAAACGGGACTGTTGCATGACGACGATGACGACGAATTACCACCGTTGGATCCCCCACCGCTGGATGACTTTAGCTCCATCGAGTATCACATGGTAGAACAGTGTAAGGATGCCACCTCTACGGCCACTCAATCTGACGACGACATCGAGCACATCCACGCGTCCGAGGTGACGCAGATGCGTGCGAGGATCGACGCGGGCGATGACAAGTGCAGGGACGATGCGTTCTTTGGCTCTACGGCCACGCAATCGTCTTCCCCGGTGGAGCAGCGGAAGAATAGTAAGAGCACGATCTCGGACGACGATCTAGAATACATACACAGTTCCGAGTTTGGCGGTCTCGATTCCGCGAGCTCAGATAACATCATGTACACGGCCAAGTCCGCGACAAAAACGAGTAACGACAGAAGCTCACGTAGAAGGCACAGCAAGCACGCTTTGTCGTCTGATGACGATCTGGAGCATGTGCAGCTTTCGGAAATTTGCGAGCTAGAACTTGGCGCGGTGAGTTCCTCCTCGCAGGAGATGGAGCAGCAAGAAACAAGGTCCAGATCGAGCAAAAGACGAAAAGATATCATGGTGATTGAGAAGAACGAAACGGAGACCGCGGACATCACCGTGATATACAATCCGCTGGAGGAGATCTGGTTAAAGTCGGAGGAGGTAACCGACAAGCACGGCCCCGCCGACCATCTCAAAGAGAAATCGGAGGGAACGAGTCCGACGAGAAGGGCCAAAAGTCGCATTTCGAAGACAACGTCGAATTCCTCGTTATCTAGCAAGCGGGCTTCTCAGATCGTTGCTAGCGATATCGTCGAGATTATCGATATCGATGCGATGCAGAGGGCGGACACGGATGCTGATCCGACGCCAGAGTGCAAAATTCTGCCTGCCGCTACCGGAACGCGCGTTAAAAAGTCTCGCAAGAGCAAGAAGTCGCAGGCGGACGGCCAGTTGCAGGAAAATAGCTCGACAGAGCTCTCGTTTTCCTCTTCCTCCTCTTCGTCCTCCTCCTCCTTTTTCGCTCCTCCACCTTCATTCCGTTCCTCCAGAGTGAAAATGGCAGATCTGCGAGAAGCCGTGCAGGACGAGTCATTTGTAGACTTTTCCAAAGGTCTTCAGGAGCAGAAAACTCAAGCTCCTCTCTCGTCGGAGATATCGTGGAGTTCTATCGTTAAGAAAAGTATTTCCTCAGATTCGCAGGAGGCCCGCAAGGAGACAGATCTCGAGCCATTGATAGAAGTGGAGGAGAAACCGGAGGCCGGCGAGCACGCGAGAAAATTGAAGAAGACTTCGGAGTTTTGCGACAGAGATGATCGTCCGTTCCTTGAACCCGGGGCATGCAAACACGAGAGTACACGACGACGAGCTTTTAACGCTGAGGAGAAAAGAAGGGAGGATCCTTTTGGCGAAAACGATAACGTCGACGAAACGACGACGATGACAACGACGATGGAAGAGACTCTCCTCGTAGATCTTCCCGTACCAGTAATAGACGAAGAACCTCGCGCGGACAAGGATCTCGCAGGTGTCACGATCGCTATGGCACGAGCCAAGATGTCGCCCCAGGACAGGGAGGATAACAAAGAACAGTCTCTTCCGGCCTCGGAAGTACGATCCGTCGACAAGATACGTCGAGGTAACGTGCCAGCCGAGAGGAGACAATCGCAAAGAGAATCTTCTTTGCAGCTTCAGCCGGTGCTTCGGCAACAGGTGACGGAAAGCGGCGGCGGCTCCGAGAGGAGTGATCCGATTCCGGCTCCGAAGGTGTCTTCCGAAGATCCCGGATCCGATGTATGCCCGAAGCACGCCGAGAAACGAAGCGAAGCGGAGAGCTCGACCGCCGCCAAGAAAACGAGCAACAGATCGAAGAGGAAAAAGCGCAGATGAGTAGAGGATTGCTGCATGGACGTGCCTAGGGCCAGCCTTGCCCTCTACATACTCCTGATGCAAGTAGCGGGAGTAGATTAATTCCCGCGCGTATGGGGGATGAGGAAGGATAGGGTGGCGAGGGAAAATTGCCAGAGTTTCAACTGTGATTGTGTATTGATTTCGCAAAAGTCAACCTTGCATCGGCGTGTGTTTGGCTACAATAATGACTAATTTGAAGGAATAAATCGCTCGGTTGATTTTTCAAGAATATATCCTTGCCAATTAGGGAAGTCCGGAATAATTTCAAATGACTGCGACAATTTTGAATCGCTAGAAAATTTGTAAAAGAGGAAAATTGAAAGCGTGTCATTATATGCGTTGTTATATATATATGTACTGTCATTTATAAAGAGGCGCGTTTGTGACAGATTTGACCCTATCTCTGCTCGAAGAGATACTCAAAGATACCGTTTTCAATCAGTAATCATTATCCCTCGCAGAACATGTACGAATAAAAGCGTTCGGGCCATGTGGCGGGCAAGGTTGTGTTCTAGCTGACGTTAGGATATCAGAATCAGGATATTGTCTCTCAACATTAGTTCCAATGGGATATGGAACCAACAAGAGAGATAGAAAGAGAGAGAGAAAGAGAGATAGCTCTTAGAACAGGCTTCTTTATTACGACTATTTGGCAACTTCCGTGTAGCAATTTCGATTTGACTGCCTTAAAAAAAAAAGAGGAAACAGGTGATAAGTTTGGATTCAAACGTGGAAACAAATGCGTATACCTTATATATATCGTCGCCCACTATCAGTAATTTGATCGTTGATAACAATGTAACAAAACGATCGACCATTAGGTGTTCATTTGCGGAAGTTAATCTTCTAGTTAGCCGAGTAACAACCATTGTTCGGTATATGCGATAAGCCATGTTTCTTCGTTGTAGTACAAAGTATAATCGTTAAATTTTATTTGACTTTCATGCACGTTTACTGCCGCGAAAGATTGATTGAGAGCTTTCGATAGAGTAACGACAGTAATGGTTTCCCTAAATCATTTTGTTCATTTAGATCGAATCTGAGACAGCAATATCGCTTATTTAATTGTACATACACGTATTATATTTGCATATCTTTGCAATCTATTTATTTTCGAAGGGAGATATTTTTTCAGAAGACTCTCTATCATTGATTATACTTGCGTATGCTACGCTAGTGAGATTCTTTGACGGTTTATCGATGAAATAATAATCATAATAATGATAGTAGGAAATGAATGAAAGGTAGAAAATCTGGGTATCTGGGAATACTCGCGATTTTTCGCATCATCAGACGGTCCCTTGATGTAATGCTCTCGGTATCGCATGAGGAAATCATATTCATGAATCTTATATATGAAATTCTATTCTGTGAAGAGGCTGTACATTATTAGATTATTTATCATTGCGACTGCATGCACCGTCCAGAGTTGAGAAATTTAATGACCGGGGCATTATTCTGTTTTCGCGATTTTTTTTTCAATCGGGGACAAAAGAACTGTTTTTTTTTTTTTCTAAATTTTCGAATCGAAACTAATAAAATCAAATCGAAGAATTTGGATATTAAATGTAGAATATATAACGGTAAATCAAGAAATTGTTCTGATGCTTTTCTTCTAGATAATATATGTAGAATATTTCGATTTATATAGTTTCTTAACATATGAAAAAAAATTCGTATCCTAGTAAACATTGTTTAATATATGCAATAATGTAACAAATTTAGTCCACCGACAAGAACAAAGCTTACAAAGGGCAGCTACTAATATAAGAAATTTTTATTTAATTTTTGATACGATCTCATACATAAGGGATTTAAAATAGATTATTTGAAATTGAATAGATAAATGGAAAATTGCCCATTTACTGTATTTGAGGACAAAAATTGAGATTTAATTGTTATACAAATTAAATCTCGAACTTTATATTAAACAATATTGAATATAACTTATTTTATTATTGTTACATGTATAAGTAGACAATTACAATTAACAAATTAATTTTCCAATAACTTATGCAATACAGTCAAACTTGGTTAAGATCGCAAGGGACAGCTCATTTGATTCCACTTAAAGAGGTATCTCATTTACCCAATTATTCTCAATATTTCCCAATATTTCTCAATTATCCAGATTCAAAACGCGTATGTCTCACTTACAGAGGTAATTATCAAATAAAAATACGTGCATAAATTAAGTATTCAAATAAATTTTATTATGCAAATAAGCACTATGTCATTACACATGTGAAAAAATGTACAATATAATGCATTGTAAAAAAATTTTATTTAGAAAATATCTGTCATTTTCGATAACGTCATACAACGTTGCAATGTAAAAACGATAATAATCTTAGTTACAGAGGTTTTCTATGGGGTTGTCTCAGTTATAGAAGTAATTATTGCTATGAATTGCTAAATATCAGTCTCACAATCAGTTAAGGAGGTCGGACATTCCTACTTACTAGAGGTTTTTTGATGCAAAAATGTTGGGATCTCAGAAATAATCTCAGTAATAGAGATTTCCCTTTTATTCAGGTCTCACTTAACCAGGTTTGACTGTATTATCTTTAATATTCACACACAATTTTGTTGTACTTATATAATATTAATATAACGGTGTTTACTAGGATGTTAGGAAATAATCTGTATATTTAGACTCTTGACATTGATGATATTAATCCATCTAAAAATCTTCTTTTTCTAAATTTTATTTTCTTTTTTTTTTAAATTATTATTTTTTAAAAATTTTTTTGCATTTTGTATTTAATTTGTTGATCTTGAAAACTATAGTATTTTTTCTTCTTTGTTAATTTCTATAATTACATTAATTTAATTTATATATTTATTATTAATTTATATAACTTATATAGCATAATTTTTTGATTTATGCAATTACGAGAATGTAGAAATTATATAAATGATTTAATACAATAATATTGTTACATTGATCCGCGCGTAAAATTGACTCGTAATAATTTCGCAAAAGATACCATTTAATTATAGAAGGAGATTTTCATAATAATCATAGATGTAAACTCATATCTTCTCGATCGTATAAATAATTTTGAACAATGAATTTTTATATCACAATAGCTCGAAGTATTTTCGCGATATGATATTAAAACTTGTAAACGTTATTCATGATATGTCAATGTTAAGTAAATTAATCATTATTATCTTACACGTTAAACAATTTTAAATACGTAAAAATTCTGATTTTGAGATTATTATTCACTATAAGACAAATTGAGATTCTATATTAACGAAGAAATATTATATTAAATATTTAAACAAAAATATTCTATATGCTCCGAAGAAAACTGACTAAAAATAACTTTAATTTGCATATCTTGAAAGTTTGCTTGTTATGGAAAAAGATAAAGTAAAATACTCACGCGCGGTCGTATATAAATTGCTCCTCTACTTTACTCCATCTTTTTCTTTGCAGTTAATATTTACAATTGTTTCTAATTCTATTCTTCTTTCTTAATTCTTTCTATTTTTTTTTTTTTTATTTTTCGTCGAAATTTAGCTTGTGTTTTCCTGTTTCACTTTCGAATATTGATTGCGCGAGATGGGAAATGAGAAGGAAAATAAAAGAAAAGCTTATAGAAAACGTGTTCAACGTGTTGCTGATGATATATAAAACAATGTGTGTGTAGGTAAAATAATTTCTTGTATTGTAATTAGCGATAAAACGAAAAAAAGAAATAGGGTACTGTGTGTTTAAGAGTGTATCGAAAAAGAAAGCACAGAAAATACTCGGTAGCTTCGCAACAGCGTCGATTACGATCGCTGTACAAAAAGTGTAAAAAAATTCGAGGGAAAAAACGTATCGTCGAGGCAAATCTTTTTTTTTTCATTGTCTCGAAGATCTACCGTAAAATCTATTTTAGGCAAGAGTTAAAAGAATATATAGGATGAACTGTATAAATCACGAGAATATTTTATTATTATTTAATTTATTTATCATTATTCTTTTATTATTTATTTTTTGCGAATTTTTCCTGCAGCAAGTATTTTTATTATAATTTTTAATCACCCTTTTATCGCGATAGAATAATAATTTATCAGGTATTATACATATATTAATGAACAACTCCGAGAATTAAATCGTCAAAGAGAGGGAGTTTATATAGTTCATTCACACATTCGATATATTCTTCGTGCTGTGCCTCTTACGAAGTTTCACGTGAAAGAATTCTTCATCAAACTGTGATGTCCTTCAACTGTTAGTGATCTCGATCTATATAAACGGCATTAGATATTTTATGCATACGTACATACAGCTTGATGCGTATAATATATTTATTTAATTACGAAAGTCGTCTCGTTTCATCTTCGCCGCGACTATTCTATATTGTTACATGCAGGCATGTATCATATAAAGAAAACAAAATCTATGATTTATTGACAAATTACTGCGTGCAATACGCGTTGAGAGGGATGAGTGCGATGCGTGTATTGTATGTATGAGTGCGGAGAGTGTGTCGAATATAATCGATTACAAATACTGTATTACGCTTTCCAAGGATATCCGGTCTCTGATCATTCTTACTAACGAATTACGACATTCGATAAAAAAAAAAAAAAAGAGTGAGAGTCTCTCCCTCGCTCTACTATTGCTGGGCAGTATTTTAAATGCGTGTTTTTTTGCGTTCACGTTTTGTCCGTTTTATGCAATGAAAAATCGTTGGAAATAATCTAATAAAGCGCACTTTATACACAATTACACTCAGATCATCGATATTAATATTTTAACCTCTGTCGAAAAAGAGTGTCGTATTATTTTCTTTCTCAAAGCTAATGTTTGTGTAGATATTACCTACTGTATAATGCTATATATATATGTGTACATGTATACCTATTTATAGAATTGTTCGAGGAACATTTAGGCTACGTTGCATCGAGAGTCATCACCTGGATTAGCGATTCGCGATGTCATTTTCTAGATTATCAAGTCCTGAAAAATTTTAGCTGGAATTAACGCTATTAATGACGTTGGTGCAACCGGGCCTAAATGTATGAGAGATTAATGATTAACCAACAGAAACATTTTAGCGCCGAATCTATATTTGTAAATTCAGGTGGTTCTATTTTCTTTTTTCTCCTGTGTGTAAATGGAATTACAATTTACCTAGTTATCTACCTGAATAATTAAGAGCAATTATAATCAGTACTTGTGCGGCAGAGGTATTCTTTTACAAAGAACAAGAGGGAAAATGACCGTTGAAAAGTGATATATCATTTATCGTGATACGTCAAATCGGCATTTTGCAATAAATCTTTTGGATACCGTTAGTTTCGATTTGTATGTACAATAGCGGCCAAAATGACAGTATTTATCGATTACTTATAAATTAATAAGACAATCTACATGATGCTCCATACATGAATTATATAAGCGCATACACAAATAACGAAGGAGATTTATATTTAACAAAAGTATATCATCGATCTTAAGAAAAGATCAAGTTATCTTGTTTTTGCTTGAAGATAATATGAATTATTTATTTATTATTTTATATATAAATATTTAAATAGTTATTTATAAATTTATTTATTTTATTTACATATATTTTTATATATATTTTTCTCATATATTTATTATATTATATTTGCATCATTTTCGATTATCTTTTTAAATTTTTTAAACTCTAGAGATTCTATTCGAGATATAAATTACAAATTTTGTAAATTTATTAATGAATATTATTATTATTATTATTATTATTATATTATTATTATTATTATTATTATTATAATTATTATATAGATATGAAATATTCGAATTTAATTAAATGTTAAATGTTTTTTTTTTCTATTAAAAAAATCTTAAGATCGATGAACATTCGGCCGTTACTGTATATCCTATATCGTTACATAGAAGGCAATAATCGCAAAAATGTTCAAAAATGTATCGTGCAATGACTGCCTTCGCCGATACGTAAATAAACATCGTTGATAATCGATGTAGATTAATTTAACTTCACTTTCATATTTATTCGTACGATTTAGAACATGCGCGGGAGCTCTATTTCTCTGCGATAAGCTTTAGCTTGTAGAATCGTTTAGCGTGCTTGGTGTAAAATTTTTGTCAGTCTCGTTCGTTAGTCCTTTATCTCATTCTCGTAAATGATTTCCGATAACTGCGCCCAAGTGGCTGTGAATGTAAAAATGGATACGACGTTCGCTCGTGTGATGTTACAATGCCAAAGCCTGTGGAACATATATATATTATATATATATATTTGTTACATTCTAGCTTTAATTTATTTGATTAAGTTTACGCGATCAACTTGTTTATTTCCTTAAACGTGCACTGAGGAAAAAAAATTACTCGGATGAACAAATTAATAAAAAGAAAAATATTAATATGAAGAAGAGATATTTTTGCTGATAATAGATATTAAATTTTGTAAAAATATATTTGTATTAATTTTAAAATTTCTTTAAGCATTAATTTAATTTTGCGCGATGTTTTCTCAG